CCATACAACGAAATATTGAGCCATAAAAAGGAAGGACATTTTGACACGTGCTATAACTTGGATGAACCTCGAAAACACAATGCTAAGTGAAATAAGCCAGACACAAAAGAACAAAAACTGTATTAAGTTACCTAGAATAGGCAAGTTCACACAGACAGAAAGTAGTAGAGTTTACCAGGGACTGGGAGCAGTTGGAAGGGGAGCTATTATTTTGTGAGCGGAGAATTTCTGTTGAGATGGTAAAGGGTTGTGGAGATGATGGTGGTGAAAGTTCTTAACATCCCTGAACCGGGCACTTAAAAACAATTTTAGCACAATAAAATTAAGTAAAAAAATATTTGTATGTGCGTGAGGACATTTTCCAACCTCATTCTTTATATTTTCATCACTAAATTCTTTACAGTAAATATAATAATATAACAAAAACATGCAGTGGTTTAGAAAACATTGGGTTTTTTATAGAAGTGTCAGAGCTCATAATAGACCCTGGGACCGCGTGCATGTGTGTGCCCTGTGATATGATGCCACCCACAGCATGGACATCAGTGTGAGCCTGGCCAAGGACAGTTCTGTTTCTGTAGATACAGGGCCCAATTACCAGCAAAAGAAACATTAGCTTTGCAAAAAACAAAGCGATTTTTATATATTTCTACCAAGTGCAATAATCAAGGTAAACGTGAGATAGGATTCCTGCGGGAATCTTAATCTCACATTTTCTGACCTTTTCAGGGACTTTTTGCTAACTGGATGCTGCTTAGATAGGGCGATCTTTTTAAAATTGTGATTAACCCTGGCTGGTTTGGCTCAGTGATTAGAGCGTCGGCCTGCGGTCCAGAGAGACCAGGGTTTGGTTCCCGCTAAGGGCACGTACCTCGGTTGCAGTTTGTCCCCGGCCCTGGTTGGTTGTGAGGGTGGCAACCACTCGATGTGTCCCTTTCATGTTTTTCTTTCTCTCTCTTCCTCTCTCTCCCTTCCACTCTATCTGAACAAAACATGGAAAAATGTCCTCGAGTAAGGATTAAATACATAAATAAATAAATAATAAAATTGTGATTATTGCCCTGGCTGGTTTGGCTCAGCAGTTGGAGCTGACCCAGGGACCAAAGGGTCATCGATTCCATTCTGGTCAGGGGCACATTCTGGGTTGCAGGTTCCATCCCTGGCCCAGGTCGGGGTCATGCAGGAGGCAACCAATCTATGTGTCTCTCTCACATCGATGTTTCTCTCCCTCCCTCCCTCCCTTCCATTCTCTCTAAAAATCATGGAAAAAACATCCTTGGGTGAGAATCAGCAACAACAACACACTGTGGTTATCAAGTACAGCGGCGTTTTCTGGGAACTGCGCTCCGATTCTTTCTTCTGTGAAGGTCCCTCTCCGCGTGTCCACTGCGGCAGTGCAGGAGCAACGTGTGCTCGAGCTGCCTCGGGTTGGAGGGCAGGGTGCCATCTCCAGAGGGCACGCTGGGGGCTTCCCGAGGGGCAGCTGAGCCCGTTTCACCCCGACGGACAGCAGCCAGCTGGGCCTTCACATGCCCACAGAGGCCACGCGATGCCGCCCTTCGCGCTGTCAGGGGCACAGGACTCGTATTCTGGGTCCAACTTCCCTTCCTCCACGCTTGTGTCTCACAGACACTAACTGCGAACCCCCCGGGGCTGGAAGCTGGGCTGGGCACGTAGGACACACGGAGGTAGATGCGACTTGACCCCATCCCTGCCATCGAGTCCCTCCCATGGGGCCCGAGTGACAGCGCAGTGGAGGCCAGGGTGCGACCTGGCAAGGCCAAGGGCACTGTTCCGAAGGGAGGACGGGAGCCCTGGCTCCAGGCTGCGTCTTGAAGGACAAGTGAGGTTCAGCCAAGACCACGCCGGGTGGGCAGGGCTGTGTAGCGCTCTGGGCGTCGCCTGGGAGCGAGAGGCCGGCATGCGATGGTTTAAGCTGGAGGGTTACAGGGCACCCCTCAGTGTGGCGGAGCGGGCATCAACATTGGAGAACGCAGCCAGTGTGCGTGGGCCTCATGCAGCGTGCCAGGCAGGTGCAGACACAGTCCCTCCAGCTCGGAGCTCAAGGGGCCCGGGAGGGGAAGAGGGAGGCATGGATAAGGGAGTGAGGGGCATCGAGATGCAGCTGAAGCTGTGAGCACGCAGATACAGCGGTAGAGTGACGTTAAAGGGGCTGAGGGCCGAACCCCCAAAACACCAATGTTTAAGTCTCAGCAAAGGGAAAGAGCATGAAAATGAGACTGTCCAGACCGGCCAGGGAGGCAGGGACAGAGCCAGAGCGCAGCAGTGCCCAGAGTGAAGGAGGTGGTTGCTGAAGGAGGGCCAGGCCGGGGGTCCAGGGCTGCGGAGACCTCATGCAGGACGACGACCGTCGGTGTCCCCTGGAGCTGGCACCGTAACCCACACAGAGGTGTCAGCACAGTGGTGCGGGGAGGAAGCGGGTTCCAGCAGTATGCTGAGAAGCGACCATGGGGAGACCATCTTTTAGAACCTAGCAGGCCAGCTGTGGGGGACAAGAGGCAATGCTGACGCCACATGAATAAGTTGAGTTCTGGTGAGTTTAGAAGGTGAAGGTGCTGAGCATGTTGAGATGCTGAAAGGAATGAGGAGAATGGATTGCCTGGAAGCCAGGTTCCGATGCAACCTATAGAGAATCCCCTGGACGGTCTCATTCTTAGTACCAGAGCTGTCCGGGAATCAGAGGCATGACTTCTCAGGCTAGCTGGGCCACCTGCTACCCCCACCACCTCTCCATCCTGCTCACTGGACAGGACAGAGCCGCTCCTGACTTGCCTTCAGAGTCCAAGAGTTAGAGAAGGAATCATATAATTGCACTGAGCAAGGCAGCCCAGAGAGGTTAAGTACTATGGTTGAGGCCACACAGCTAGCTGGAGGTAAATTCCAGCCTGGAATGCAGGCCTCCAGACTCTAAATCCAATTCCATTTCCGCCGAGGGACCATGCATTTGCTCTGTGTAGTTCAGGTGCCTAACTTGGAAAGAGAGTGACTTTTCCTCTGCTGGTCATGGGCAGGTACACTATCCCCAAGGGGCATCACTGGGCTCTCCTTCCACCCACAGGCGCCTTTCAGGTGCCCGGGAGTCTCCCACCCCTCTCCTCCTCCCGCCTCCCTCTTTCTTTTCGGACAGGCTTGGTGGCACTGGGAAAGTGCCCAGGCGGGCATCAGTAGCAAGCACGGCCTGCTGCCAATTCACAGCTGTGGAACCCACAAGGCCTTCACACTGGTACTTGGCAGGCGACCTTGGCTCTCAGTAGAATGGTGCTTTGTTACCACAAATGATCCAGTGCCCTGAGTTGAGCTGGCACCGATGACCTCGGCACCCCTGCCAGCCGGGTCACGTGCTCCGGGATCTCGGAAGCCCTGGCCCTCAGCGTGTGCATGGCTCTGCCTAGGACAGGGAGGACAGGCGCTGGGACAGGCTCCGCCTGGTAAGCCCCAGGGGTTCGGTCGGAGGACTGTGGGAACGATATCCACTCGCTGGGTTCCGCAGGGTCTTTAGATGTGACCACAGGGCTGTGATTGGCGCCAGGCCTGGGGACAGCCCTGTGAGGAGAGCTAGGGAAGGTGGGTCATTTCTGCCGGCTGAAGGGTGAGGCCAGAGGGGTGGCCACTTCTGGCCCACAGGCTGCCCCTGTTCCAACTCAAGTCCATGGAAGGCTTCGTTTAGATCATTTCCCCCTTTATATTGTTCTTTATTGAGGTACAATGTCGGGAAGTAAGAGAGAGAACTTGTGGCTCTGGCATCTTGTGTCATGAGTCAGGGGACAGGGTTCTGATGAGGCGCCACTTTTAACCTGATCTTCAAGCCAAGAGCTCCTCCGCTGTCCCTCTCTGCAGGCTCCCCCTGCCACACCCCTGCCACCAGGACACTGGAAGGAAACGAGACCTGGCACTCACTGAGCCAGGCTCCTGTCACTCATGCCCCATGATCCCAGTCGGGCGGGATTTCCTGCTCAGTGGCAGGCCCAGGCTCCTCCACGCTCTCGAGTTGGACCTGGGTCAGGACTCGGGGAGCAGCTCGGGGTACAAAGACGGCCTGGACTGGACAGACTCTTTGTTGTCACCTCTCGGAGGAGGAGGTTAAGAGCCTCACATTGGTCCACTCTTAAGTGAGCCTCTGGAACCCCGATGTTTGCCCCAGCAAGAAAACACACTCTGATGGAGGTCACGTTTAATTATGTGTGGACGCCTTCCTTTCTCATCTCAGGCCACATCCACATTTATAACACCGGTGACCGACGTACACTAAAGCCGGGAAGCTGTGCACCAGGACTCGGGTTACTTAGTACTGGGAGCGGGGAGGAGAGGAAGGAATTGGCGGAGATGCCTGAGCCTGGATGTGGGGTGCAGGTGGACGTGGGGTGCAGGTGGACATGGGGCGCAGGTGGATGTGGCGTGCAGGTGGACGTGGGGCGCAGGTGGATGTAAGGCGCAGGTGGACGTGGGGCGCAGGTGGACGTGGAGCGCAGGTGGACATGGGGCGCAGGTGGACATGGGGCGCAGGTGGACATGGTGCGCAGGTGGACATGGGGCGCAGGTGGACGTGGATTGCAGGTGGACATGGGGCGCAGGTGGACGTAAGGTGCAGGTGGACATGGGGCGCAGGTGGACGTGGGGCACAGGTGGACGTGGGGTGCAGGTGGACGTGGGGTGCAGGTGGACGTGGGGTGCAGGTGGACGTGGGGCGCAGGTGGGCGTGGGGCGCAGGTGGACGTGGAGTGCAGGTGGACGTGGGGCGCAGGTGGACGTAAGGCACCGGCCCTGTCAGGGCAGCGATTTCACAAAGCAGCAGCGTACAAGCGACAGCACAGCGAAGCCCACTCCATCCTTCCCGGAGCAGGTGACGGGCCGTGGGGAGGAGCGGGCTGGACAGCGGAGGGCAGAGCCTTGGGCACGACAGCTCCGCACCAGAGACTAGTGAAGCTCCCAGTCCACAGGGCAGGTCTCAGCTGGACTGGCCGCATCCCTCCGGGGAAGCCTCAGATGTTCATTGTCAGGTTGATGAACTGGGAAGAAAAAGAGAGAGAGATGAGGGCTGGTTAACCCTCCACTTCCCTGCCAGCCTCAGGAACAGCCCCTTGTTCACGTCACAGGTGCTCCCCCACTGGGTCATCCCGCCCGCAGCCACGGGCTTCTGCCTCAACAAGCGACATTAAAAAACATCGATTCTCAGGACTTCGAATTTCCCAGAGGTCTTGAGCTTTTCCTGAGCACGTCAAGTCAAGGGCGGATGATGGGAGAGAGAGAAAAGTGCTTTCTCCCTGGGCCTCCCCGAGGTACCAAGGGTGGGGCAGCATAAAGCACCTTTTCCTCTTTGATGAGGGGTCCCCTCACCTGAGACAGGGGTGACCCTCCATCACCGAGGGGCTGGAGGACAGGGAAGCGCAGAAGTTAGCCCCCCTCCTCCATCCTGAGCCCCTCAAGCCCCTCCTTCTCACCAGCTTTCTTATCACTACAGGGTGACTTGGGGGAGCATGATTTCTGGGGGGAGGGGGTTCTCTCCTCTCTTCCCTCCAGGGCACAGCACGATCCAAGACCGGGGTGATGGAAGGCAGCCGGGTGGAGGAAGACACACAGACTCTTAGCAGAGCAGGTGCAGGAGAGGCCTGTGGCAGAGAAAGTATCCGTGTCCTGGGTGGAGGGGAGGGGCATTCAGAACTTGGCCATACACTGGGCTGTCCAGGGGAATTTAAAAAATATCGGTGCTGGGTCCCAGGACCCAAGGTTTGGGGCGAATTGGTCTGGGGCATGGCAGGGCACTGGGGTTAAAATCTCCCCAGGAGATGCTAACGTGCAGTGGGGCTCGAGCCGGTTAAAACAGGAGAGGGGAGGGTGCAGGTTTGTCTTGTCTTGCAGACTGGTAAGTACGGGCCAGCGCGAGAGCGTACACGGAATGACTTCGGTCTGTGACTTGAGGGGGACCAGAGAAAGAGCTCATTCCAGCCCCCACATCTGTGGACACAGGTTGAAGGTGACACCCTGAACCTGAAGCAATGGAGCGCTTCCTCCACGCTTCTGGTACTTTGGGTCTTTGGTGAAGAGGCCACTGAAGGCCAAGCCTATCCGCTCCCCTTGCACTGTGGACAGGTGGCAACGGTCACACTTTCTTCATGCTTGTTAGTGGCAAAGCCTTGAAGTAAATGATAAGTAAAGGGCCCAGAGGTTCTTCTTGTTTTCATAAGAGACCAGTCTGAGTGTGCATATCTTTTTTGGAATCTTGGGTGTTTTATACAGTCATCAATCAGAGGAGTTACATTTACTGAATGTGTTTTCCACCGAAGGTGAAAGAGAATGCTGGAACAGAAAAATGCCCGGTTTCTATTCTCAGAGTACTTACAATGTATCCAGGGACCTGGGACATGCACACGGGAACATCAGTGACGGGTCAACATGATACATTGCCAAATTATACAATATTACTACGAGCCAAGATTTGGGTGTAAGTTTAAGGCCTAGCTCTCTTTCTGCAAATAGTGAAACTGAGGCACAGAGCAGGTTGATTGACCAAAATCAGAGCACAGGGAGTGGGGAGGTCTCATCCCCTGTCTGGGACACTGTCATCAACCTCTAACTTGGAATAGTCACTAAATGGTTCCAAACCCAAAGTTGCCAGTGAATCCGGAAGTGAGCCGGTGTGTGGTGTGAGCGCAGGAGAAAGAGCTCGGAGCTGGGGAAGGAGCGGCCTGGCTAGTACCGTCAGGCTTACAGAAGGCAGAGCTAGACAGAAAGACAAACCACGGGAACCATCAAAGGAAAGCATCCGTATTTCCCCACGGCTTTGGGCAGGAGAAGGTTTCACCAGAGTTCTCAGACTTTGCTGTGTTCAGAAATCACTGGGGATCCTGCCAACATGAGGCCTGATGCAGCAGGTCTGGGTGGGGCCTGTTCTCTGCACTTCTTTTTTTGTTTTTGTTTTATTGGATATAATGGATGTGTAACATTACAAATTTAAGGTGCACAGTGTGGTGATTTGATACATTTGTACACCGCAGTATGACTTCCACTGTAGTATTAGCGAACACCTCTATCGTGACACATACTATCTTTTTTTTTTTTTTTTTTTTAATGAAAACAAGATCAAGACTCTTGGCAGCTTTGAAGTTTATGACCCGGTTACCTATCATCACTCTGCATTCTAACCAGCTCCCCTAGGTGGCGCCCACGCTGTTGGTGGTAGGACCACACAGGACAGGGAGGAAAGAACAAGCCACGCCCGGATCCCGCCTCTTCCAAGCCTCTGAAATTCCACCATGCTCTCCCCTCTGTCATTTCTGCTGTGATCAGCCCGTGTAACTGGTTAAAGCTGTATATTTCTCAGGGCCTTTGAGGAATTTGCACGTGTGCCTACCTTCATATGCACACACAACACGCCAAGAATCATGAGACCTATGGGAAGACACGAGCAAGGAGGATGAACAGATTGGAAGCTGGAAGGCAGCAGGCTGAGGAGCCCACATGGCAGAAGGAAGAGAAGGAGGAGAAGCAGGGTTTGCTGGCTCACCCTATGCCTCACTGTCCACTTCTGCAAAATGGGGATGCGACCAGCCCTTAGCGCACAGGACTATTGCAACAATGATACTGACTGCTAAGCACATAGTACACCAAAATATTAGCAATGTTGTTGTTGCTTTACCCCAAAGCTAAGTGTTAACCCTCACATGCAATTGTGCATTTGGCAGACGTTTATGGAGTGTGGACGGTGGGCCCAGCCCCGGCTGGGTCCCTGAGCACAAGGTCCAGCTGGGTCATACCTCGTTTATGTTGAGATGAATGAACTCCTTGCTCTGCGTACTGAGAACCTGGAATACCCCTGATGGGAGAGACATGAGAAAGGCATCATTGCAGGGACTGGTCCTCCAACAGGCAGTTTTCCCTCAGGAAGCCTGTGGAAGAGCTGCTCAGTGTGGGAACCTGTTTCTGCCAAGGGCTATTTGGATATTTATAACATGTTCGCAGGCCATCCAAAATTATCAACTTAATAATTAGCCTGCTGTGTTCAGTCGGGCTAATTGGTGAGGCACGTTAGCTGGTATTGATTTCGAGGGCCTTATATGGCCCGTGGGCCGGACGTTCCCCACCCCGGAGCATCGGCCTGCCTCAGGCCCACTGACAGGATTTTTCTGGGTGGGTGGAGGAAGATCTTGAATCCCTGTGATGCAGGAAGCTGGGTGGCAGTGTTGTCATGTACAATATCCAGCCAGCTCTTGAATCCAAAACATCTCCCCATCTTAACTTTTTGGGGCTAAGATCCCTTGCAGTCCATGGCCCCACTCCCAGAACAGAAGCACATGCACATGAAGTTTTGCGTGAGTCTTGAAAGCTTACAAGTCCCTTATAAGAAGGTGAGCACGGTGGGTACCCCCACTGGTGGGAGCAGCCAGGAAGGAGGAAGAGCCCGTCTGAGCCAGAAGCTGCGTCTACCGCAACAGCCTCAGGGAGTGACTGCTCCCGCCTTCTCCCACCTTAGTCCAAGTGGTCCAGCCAGCCAACTCTGGTGTCACCTGACAGTCACCTGGGACTGTTGGAAATACAACGGGGGGAGGGGGGGGAGGAGGGGGCTGTCATAGAATAAAAGAGACAGAACCCAACAGTCAGATGCAGTGAGTGGATCCTGAGACAACCAGGCAAATGTAAAAAGAGGACCTGGAAGAGATAAACCACAGAACTTATATGCATGTACGCATAACCAATGGACATGGACAACAAAGCCGGGGACGGGGAGGGGGGATGGGGAGGAGGGTGTCAATGGGGTAAAAAAGGAGAAACATCTGTAACAAAAATAAAATAAAATAAAAAAAGAGGACCTGGGAGATTTCAGCAAGGACCAGTCTCTGGGGATGTCAAGGACTTACTGAGAAAATATTAAGGTTATGCAAATTGCATGATGATTATGCTTCTTATTATGATTTTATTGTGCTTTTAACTTCTTATTCCAGAAAATTTATGCTAAAAACAAATCTATCTGTTAGAGACAAACAGAGGAAAGGACCACATTTCTGAGACCTGTTATTAAATAATTCAGGGGGGAAAAGTATGTGTGGGGGAACATAAGGAAAAGTTACAAGATGATAATTACTGAAGCTGGGACAGGGCTCTGGAACCACATGGTGACTTCTGCAAATACAGACGCTGTTTGCCACCCCCTGGATTCTGATTTAGTTGGTCTACTGAGCAGCCGGTCATCAACATTTTCAAGCTCCCCCAGGGGTTGTATATGTGGCAAAGTTTGAGAAGCGCAGGTGGAGGTTCATGGGAAATGATTATTATTCTTTATAATTAAGAGTTTGATTAAAATTTTCTGGAATAAGAAGTTAAAATAATCCTGGGGCGAACTTCTAGCCTTGGTTTTCTTAAAAGCTCTCCAGGGGATGAACCTAACCTGCGGGCCCCAGTAGGTGATGCTAAGCCTGAAGTGCCTTCTCCCCAATATTCCTCGATGTAAGGACACCCTGATGGGAGGCCTGGGCCTGAGGGGATTCAGAAAGGAAAAGGGCAGTTGAGAGAGAGAAGCTATGCAATCTCATAATTTCTAGGTCGTTTTTGACCACCCCCCTGGAAAACGCACCTCTCACTAACTACTGGTAACTACCTGGAGAAAGCCCAGCCCCCCGGCGTGACGGTCAGGGCCCTCGGCACCTGCTCGCCTCTGCTCGGTCAGTCAACGCGTGTGCCTGTCGTCCATGACGGACGGTGCTCCTGGAGCTCACGTCGATGAAGACATGCTCCCAACAAGTCCACATGCCCCAGTGACACAGAAGGAGCGGAGGGAGCTCCAGCACCGTGGACGCGAGCGGCACCGACCTGGCCCGGGCTTAGCAAGTGCCCTGAACTCACCTGGCAGACACACTTCAGAAAACGCCAGCGGGGCTCACTCCATCGAAATCTGCGGAGCCCCGGGCCGCACGGAAACTCGGGCTCTTTGTTACAAAGTTATGAAGTCAAGACGGTGACCCCGGAGTGTTAAACCAATTGTGGGCACCTTAGGGGCTCAGGGCCCTGTGCCTCTGCGTGGATGGCACCCCATGCCAGTTGCCATGGTGCCAAGTCACAGGCCCTGGACGCACTTCATTCAGCTTCAACTCTGTGACAGACAATAAACTGCAGACGCCAAGGACCCCCCCCCGCACGAGCTCTCTCCTTTCTTGGGGTGACAACTCTTGTCTGAGGGAACAGGGTCAGCGTCGAGGGCTTACAGAACACAAAGGCGGGCTGGGAAGGGAGACAGAGGGACTCTGGTTCTATGTGCCATGGTGAGATTTGAGCTGAAGTCAGACGTGAGGCAGGACCCCACCCTGTGACCCTCCCGCAAAGACACTGAGCGTGTAGAGAAGGAGCCGTAGCTAACACCCGCGGCACGGACATGACGCTGGCTCTCTGCGGCCTCTTTGCCTGATTGTTGGCCGGTGGTTTCTCACGTGCTCCCGGGGGACGGAGGGCGGGGACACTTACGGCTGGCGTTCTCCAGCCGGACCAAGCAGTTGAGGAAGTCGTCGAAGCCCAGCTGCAGCTCCTCGTCCGCGTACCTGAGCACGATCAGCTGCAGGAGGTGGCGGCTCAGCTGAAAGCCTGTGGGGAGCAGCAGGAGACACGGGCTGAGTCCCAAGGGGCCAACGGGGCGCGCCCGTCCGCTGGGGGGAGCCGAGGGAAGGGAGCTCCCAGGCCCAGTCTGAACGCAGTGTGACAGGCGTGTCTATGGGGGGCAGGCAGGTCAAGTCACAGCTGTACCTTTGCGTTTAATGAGTGCATTTTGTTGTTGTTGTTAATCCTCACCCAAGGATGTTTTTCCATTGATTTTTTTTGGAGGGGTGGGGAGAGAGACAGAGAGACATCAGTGTGAGAGAGACACGTAGATTGGTTGCCTCCTGCACGCACCTGGACCAGGGCCAGAGATCAAACCTGCAACCCAGGTACGTGCCCTTGACCGGGCATCCAACCCAAGACCCTGAGGTGCTCGGGCCGACGCTCTAACCATTTGACAACACCCCCGGGCTACATGGTCTTGGTTTTGACATTGACCTCACCCACTGTGTCTTGCTGACTCTTCAGGAAGCCTCGTTTGGGGCTACCTGATGCCAGGCGGTGTCTGAGCCCTACTCTGTGCCCGCGCCAGCCTTCCCTCCAGCTTACGTCGGAGCCCAGGTCCTGCTGGGCCCCGAGGGTTTCAGCCTCGACACCTGCAGTGAGTGGCTCTTTCTCAAGTGCATTTTAACCCACAGGTGTTGGCTGGGTCGGGGGCGGGGACTCTGAAATCTTACCATCTGCGACAGCGGGGATGGACCTAGGAGGCATTATGCTGAGTGAAATAAGTCAGACAGAAAGAAAATGCCACATGATTTCACTTCTATGTGGAATGTAAAGAGCGAAATAAATGAACAAACAAAATAGAAACAGACTCATAGATACAGAGAACAGACTGATGGTCGCCAGAGGGGGGGGGGGGCTGAGGGCTGGGTAAAACAGGTGAAGGGATTAAGAAGCACACACTGGTAGTTCCAAAGTAGTTGCGGGGATGTGAAGCACAGGAAGGGAATATAGTCAGTAATATTGTGATGATGTGTATGGGGCCAGGTGGTACTGGGACTATCGGGAGACCACTTTGTAAAGCCTGTGACTGTCTAACCAATAAGCTGTACACCTGAAACTAATACATAATAACACCGAATGTAAACTGCAATTGAAAACACAATTTTAAAAGAAATCGCGTTTCTCAGCAGGGGTGCTGATGCCCACAGTGGGTGGGGGGTGCAGGGCCCATTCACCCCGTGTTCGCTAGAGAGAACACAGGCTGGAGAGAACACCCCGTGTACGCTAGAGAGAACACAGCCTGGAGAGAACACCCGTGTACGCTAGAGAGAACACAGGCTGAAGAGAACACCCCGTGTACGCTAGAGAGGACACAGGCTGGAGCCGCCTGGGCTTCAGGCCCCTGCTCTTGGGCCAGGGGCTGTTTCTTCTCCTCTCTGGGCTTTGGTTTCCTCACCGGTTGAATGGGGCTGAGAGGAGGTCAAGTTCCTTTTAGATCTATATTTAAATACTTGCTCTCTAACCAACGTCCTCTGGGATGACCTTGACCCCAGGTCCCCCTGCACACTCACTTTCCAGGGAAAATGTTCACAGTGTTCCTCAAAAGCCCACCAGGGTCTTGCTGCCCCCTTGGTCCCGATTCCAGACAGAGGAGGCCAACCAGACACCGAGCAGTCTGGGGCCTACACGGGGTGCTGGCTGCTGGTGATGCCCCGAATCCTGGCCTCCGCTCTCCATGGCAACCCTGTCTCCTCCCCTCCGCAGTCAGGACCAGAAGGCTGTCACACCCATCCTCTCCGCAGGGCTCCCTTGTCCCCTCTCTGTCCTCCTGCCCTAGAAACGGAATCCCCACCCCTAGCAAACTCTCCTCCGGGGACTCTCCACAGTTGCGGCTAATCTTGTCTTCTTCTCCCTCGCGTAGGCCCCAAGATGGTCCAGCGTTTGTACATTCTGTCCCTTTAGCAGACCTCGAAGCTGACAGTGTCTCCAGATGCTTGGATCACCCGGCAGGGAACCAGACAAGCTTGGCAGGGCCCAGGGGGCAGGCCTGTGAGGCAGGCTTGGTGGCGGGGGCTGTGGGCTGCAGTGACCGCGCAAAGCGCAGCGATATGAGAGAGGCCAGCTGAGCCCAGAGACGCAGCCACGGCAGTGACTGCCGGGGGGGAGGGATAGGAGGTCCACCTGGAACCCATCCTTCGTGCAGGAAGCAGGGTACAAACTTGGCTGAATCATCCAGTTTGGATTCAGTCTGCGAGGGACAGAGCCCGGGACAGGGCTGCAGGTGGCTCCTCCCTGAACCAGAACCATGGGAGGGGGCTTGTCCTGCCTGGTCCGTGGTCATCACAAGTGAGAGGTTCGGACACACTGCAGCTTGTCACCGAAGGGCCACATGTAACTCTGCTTGGCCAGAAACGTTGGCCAGAGGCTGAGAGGCCCCGGGGCTCAGGCTAAGTTCACGCTTGGTGGGTGCCTTTTAAGCGTTCCTGCCGACTTTGCACTGTGGTTCAAAACGTGGACCCTACCCTGGCCGGTTTGGCTCAGCGGTTAGAGCGTCAACCTGCGTTTCAGAGAGACCCGGGTTCGGTTCCCGCTAAGGGCACGTACCTCGGTTGCAGTTTGTCCCTGGCCCTGGTTGGGTTGTGCGGGTGGCAACCACTTGATGTGTCCCTTTCACATCGATGTTTCTCTCTCTCTCTTCCTCCCACTCTATCTGAACAAAAAATGGAAAAATGTCCTCAGGTGAGGATTAAAAAAACAAAAACAAAACGTGGGCCCTGGCGTGAGCGAGAGTCCTGAGTCTGAGCCCTGGCTCTGCCACGAAAAGCTTTGTGCCCCGAAGAAGCATCAACCCGGGAGGTGAGACCGGCCACCCCCAGCGCTGAGAAGCCGTGACCGCCGGACAGCACCTGGCGCAGTCAGTCCGCACCCCGCGTGCCGGGCTCCTCCTTACCTGCGGCTTTCAGGGCGGTTCGCAGCTCGTAGGAGGACATGGTGCCGGATCTGTCAGCGTCAAACTGAAGGAAGAGGTTCTGTGGGAGGACAGCAGAGGCAGTGAGCACAGAGCCCTGGAAGGCGCCTTGGATGGCAGTAACGGGGGGCAGCCAGCGCAGGAGGGGAGGTTCCTCCGGGGTGGGAGGCAGTGGCTGGGCGGGCCCTCCAGAGGAAGGGGGTCCCTGGTGTTTCCCTTGGCATCTGGGCATTGCACGGAGACACGTCTGTGTCAGAAGTGCTGGACTCCCGTCCTGGTTTCTTCCCTTCGCCCCCCTGAGCACAGGCTCTCCAGTCGCCAGCAGCCCAGCCTTTTAACCCCCCTTTTGCTCTGGGCTTGTGCGACCCCCTAGGGACTGTGCCCCGCCGGCTACGTACGATCCACGTCTTCAGTTTGTCCCAGAACACTTTGAATTCATCAAACTCCAGCTTCCCGTTGCCACTGGTCTGTGCCAAGTGCGTCAAGGAAACTGTGAGCGATTCAACCTGGGGCTCCTCGTGGGACCTCCCGCCTGGGCCTGCAGGGAAGGGTGACCCGGGGACAGAGTCGGAACTTCGAGGCGAATCTCCGAGGAGAGGATGCCACGGGGATGAGACGGCAATGGCACCAAAGGTTTGAGAAAAACACAAAAGCTCCTTCATTCCCTGGCAGGGGACCCGAAGTGGCTGCAGATCCCCAAGTCCCTTCAAAAACATCCCCTCCTTGCACGGTCGGCGCCGTGCGGCTCTGTTCCAGGCCCAGCACTCGGGGTCTCCCAGGCTCTGGCTGATCCCGTGAAGAAGACCGTCCTGCTGGGTCTGGGTGCCCTGGCCCAGGGAGGTCTGCCTATAGAGAAACACTTCGCATCGACTCTGCCCACCACTGGGAAGGATACGTCCATCAGCGAAATGATGTTTTTACAGGAAATCAGGCTTAGCTTCTTGAATTTGATGTCCTTTCCTGAAATCATACAAGAAACAGAATTCAGCCCTGGCAGGTTTCTCAGGGGTTAGAGCATCGGCCCATGGACCAAAGAGTTGAGGGTTCGATTCTGGCCGAGGGCGTGTACCTTGGCTGCGGTTCGTCCCCGGCCCTGGTCGGGGTTGTGGCGGGGGGGGGGGGGGGCAACCAGTCGATGTATTGCTTTCTTTCTCTCTTTCTCCTTCTCTATCTCAGATAAATGGAAAAATATCCTTGGGTGAGGATTAAAAAACAACAAAAAAAGAAAGCAGAATTCAGATCACCCCTGGAAAGACATATGTATTTCTATCTGCTGAAAGTCCAGTGGTGTGGTTAGCTCTGGGGCTAGGAGGGCCGTGACATGCTCACCCTCTTAGCATGCTAGTGTGAGTTGACATGGCCTTTTGGGAGGAAAATTCACGAAATATGAAAAAGGCCTTAATAATGGGAATGTCCTTTCATCCATTTATCCTAGTTTTAAGAATCCCAAGCAAAGAATGACCAATTCAGACGTTCTTCATCAGGTTATTTATAATGGCAAAAATTTAGAAATGACATAACTTTGGAAAATAGTCAGGCATCTTCTTAAAACATTAAATACAGAGTTACCATGTAACCCAGCAAGTCTCTTAGCTCTGTACCCCAGAGAAACAAACACACGACCACACAAGTAACTTACGCACGAATGACCGGGCAGTGTTATTCCTAATGGCCAAGAAATGGCCACGAGCTAATGCCCATCAACGGGGGGCAGAAACAGAAAATGGCACAGTCACACAGTGGAGTGTCACCGGCTGCTGCCAGAGGAATGAGGCACTGACACAGGCCACAGCGTGGTGACTGTGGGCACTTTGCGCTGGAAGGAGCCAGGCACAGGGGCCCACGTGTGGCGTCCATCCTTTTCATGAAAAGCCCACAATAGGCAGATCTAGTGACACAGGGAATGAGTGTCTGCCAGGGGCTGGGGAAACAGTCCTGGCTTTCTTTCTGGAATGAGGAAATGTTCTAAAATTGATTGTGGTGGTGGCGGCACACTTCTGCGAACATATCAGAAACCACTGTATTAAAATGTAAAATTGGCCCGGCCGGGGTGGCTCAGTGGTTGAGCATCGACCCATGAACCAAGAGGTCACCAGTTCGATTCCCAGTCAGGGCACATGCCCAGGTTGTGGGCCTGAACCCCAGTGGGGGACATGCACGAGGGGCCAATCGATGTTCTCTCTCATCAATGGTTCTATCTCTTTCTCCCTCCCCCTCTTTCTCTCTAAAATAAAAAAAATAAAATAAAAAAATAAAAATGTAAAATTGTATGTATCTATAATTTAATACTAATTATGTGTATGCATACACACCCAGACTACGTACATGACACAAAGACACACACACACATGTTAATAGTGGTTACCGGACGAGAGATTATTGGTGATTTTCATCCTTGTCATCAAGCTTCTCAGCATTTTTTAGAATTTTCTACCATGAACACGCATCATTTTTGCAACCGGGAGACAGCAATGAAAGCTCTTTTAAAGTCTGTCCAGCGTCAGAAAGGCAGACTGTGGTTCTGAGAGCGGGGAGCCCGGGGGGCTGCAGAGACCCCGGGGGGCTGCGGAGACCCAGGCGTGTGCTGCCACAGGACCCGAGCAGCCCGGGGCCCCGACGGGGGATCACTTACTCTTTTGCAGCACAGCATTTAAAACATATTCCAGCTCCTCTGCAGTCACCTCCATGTCCTGTTCAAGTGGAGAAAATTGCTTTTTATGGCCCTCGGTACCTTTGGAGTTTCTTTCAGTTCTGAGCCTGATTCGGCTCAAGTGACAGACCAGCAGCCCCCAAGCGCCTGCTGCAGGCTCACGGCTCAGGGACCTGCAACCCAACCCAGAAAGGATGGAGAAAACGGGGCCACCCTTCCACCCTCACCCACTCGCTGCCCCGGGCTGCAGTTCACCACCATGCCTGCTGTGCTTTGACGCTGCCCCGCGAGTGCCCACTGTCTCCACCCCAGACCGGGTGCCCACGCCTCCCTGACCTGGCTGTTTGTCAGAGCGCCTGAGATCCCACTGAGGGCGACACCCCGGTTTGGGTGTCTCCCCGACAGTCCTGGAGCCCGGCCACGTGTGGGAAGCTAATACCGTCATCAGCATCTGGCATGAACTGGTTACCAGGCTAACTGTATATATGGCTTCCAACTGAGGGGCTTCGCGGGGCGTGGGTGGGGCAGTTTCTGGGAGCACGGAGGCCTGAGCAGGGACAGGGAAAACCCCGGGCCCCCAACAAGCAAGCTGAGTGACAGAGAGAGCGGGAACGGGGCTGGGGAGCAAAGTGCAGGCTCTCCTTCCCCGGTGGCCCACGGCCCTGGTGTGTTTGCAGTTTAACAGTGGCCTCCTGAACACCACCACCTCCAACCTAGAGAAGGCGGTGGTTTCTGGGCAGAGTTCCAAGGGGCCGCCTGGCGAAGGCTCCCTCCGCTGCTCTGAGCTCCTTAGGGTGCGGGGTGCAGTGGGGAGGCTGGTCTCACTTTGTGACTGGGGCACCACGCACGCCTCTGAGAGTGGTGCTGACAAATACCCCTGGGTCGGGGCATCGCCGGCATCGGCCTGGGCAGCCACAGCCACACCTCACCTCCCCGGCGACTCGTTCAAACAGGGCCCTGAACTGCTGTTCCTCTTCTGTCTCCTGGCCCGGCGGACTCGGCTTTGGAGGCTGGAAATGAACCAGAAGATTTTGGATCACAAAAAAGACACTTGGCATTTGCTTTCCCATAGAAATAGCAGGACAGAAGCCGCCCGGCTGGAGGTGGTGCCGCCGAGCGAGGGAGGACTGGACCTCCCAGCCACGCGATGTGTGCTGGGCAGAGGACCCGGGACTGGCCGGCGGCACAGGGACCACCGTCACGGTTCCTTGTGAAGGCTCCTTGGAAGGGTGTCTGAAGGACTTGTTAGTGGCCTGGTGGAGCCGGACTCCTGGTGGGGTCAGGACCCTCGCCCGGGCTGCCGCCGCCCCTGCGCGTCCTGTCTCACCACCCGGGGCCCTGCCTGCGATTAGCTGCTCGGTGCTGGGCTTGGTGGGAAAGCGTCTGAGCGCCGAGTCCGCTCCCCGCGTGGGGCACGCGGCCCGGTGCGCGGAAGAGCTCAGCGCGTGCTTTGGGCGTTTCTCTTGATTTATTTTTGGGCCCCGTTAATGCCGAAACCCAGAGACGGCAGCGAGAGGTCACTGCTGCTCCGGGGGTGCAGGCTGTTCCGGCGACACCTGAGACCCCCGGAAAGCCTCACAGCCCCGGACAAGGGTAGACCCAGCCCCGGCTTCAGGGAAGGAGTCACGTGTTCCCCTGCGTCCACAGCGAAAGGCCTGCTGGCCTCTCTAATGTCCTTTTATTAATTATTTCTCTGACATTGGCCATGTTGTAAAGATATCCCATCCCCCACGAGCAGCAGCCGCCTCCCGGGGAGCAGCGATGGGCAGCGCAGAGCTCAGTCCGAGCGGAGCTGTGTGCGGCCCCTACCTGTTCCCGGGCCCCACTGGGCTGCGGGAGGTTAGTAGAGCCTCGTCCTCCGGGAGGTCAGGGTCAAGGTGCCTGCCTGCTCGCAGGTAACCACTCCCTGAACTTCCGAGTTTTATGTGATGCTTTGTTACAAGGACAGGCTCCAGGACAGCCACTGAGCCCCCCCCCCCCCACACACACACACACACAGCAACAGGAGAAGGCTCACCTCAGGAAGGTCAATGTCCACACCTCCGTCCAGGTCCCTGTGGAGGCAGGAAACAGGCTGACCAGTGGCCCATTAACTTCCTCATTAGGGTCTGCGGCGCCGAAAGGGCCCAGAGGTACTGGAAGGTTCTGTCCCGCTGTAGCCCTCTTTGCAGTGCCGTCTACATTTCACAGGGTCTGCGCCCCCCACGCACTGACCTCACCCTCCCCTCGTCACCCACCACTGCCCAGCATGAAAACAGAGGGAGGTCGCTGGCCACCACCTGAGGACTTGCACGTTCTGGATTCTGGAAGGAAAAGCTAACTGCAATCACTCCCGTTTCCTGGGTGCGCTTTACCAAGGGGTATTTACAACGAGTCATGTAGAACAGCAGAGGCCCCGAGGCCTCGAGAGCCAAGCAGTGTTATCACATCTCCAACGGAGGCCCGGTCATTGGAGACAGCTATTTAGCCATAGGGTTACTCATTCCTGGTGGAATTTTGTTGTTGTTAAAGATTTTTTATTGACTTCTAGAGAGGGAGAGAGAGAGGAAGAAGAGGGAACAAGAGAAATGTGGATGTGAGAGCAGAACATCAATCAGCTGCCTCCTGCACGCCCCCTCCTGGGGCCAAGCCTGGACCCTGGGCGTGTGCCCTGACCAGGAATCCAACCAGCAACCCCTCAGTACACAGGACAACGCCCAGCCGACTGAGCCCCACCTGCCAGGGCTCATGGGCTAATTTTAAAGATTATAGAGCAAGTTGGGTCAAAACCAAAAAGAGTACCCCTGACATGCCCCTTCCCATGGCTGTAGGTCCCTGGTCCCACTGCGGGTGGGGGCTGTGTGTTTACGTGCTAGTCTGGGGAAAATGCTGGAAGCATGTGTGTTCTGCTGTTCCACATTTAGGGGAGCCCAGTGTTTGAAGAGCAGTAATGCCGACAGGAGGAGCAGGCTTCAGCTTTTGATACTGAAAACATTTGGAAGAATCCAATCTTAGGGAGTAAACCTGAGGGTCTCCCGAAGAAAGTCTGCTGCAGACTCGAAGGGAACCCCAGTAAACAACAGGAGGATGGAGCCGGTGGCCCTTCCCTTCCTCCTCCTCCCCCGGGCACACAGCAGAGCCCTCTGAGAGTTCTTGTCATTCAGGACCCTGGCATGAGAATGAACCAATGGAAACAGAGCTCAGGCGGGTCTTCTTACGGAAGGAGGAGCCGATTCTGTGCTCAGTGTCATAGCCCATGAAAGCATCCTGTTCAGAAAGCGTGAGCGTGGAGTTAGCTCTGCCATGTATCAGCCGCCTGTAAATGCTGGGGACTGTGACCGTACCCGCTGGGGACAGAGAACACTGAGTGCGGGACTGGCACGGGCTGGCGCTCCCTCCTGCCACCCACAGAAGTTGCCAATCTGCATGGATCTTGTTTGGGGTGCTTTCGTGTGGACAGACCCTGGGAAATTCATCCTCAACTTGTACTAGTATCTGGGAGAAGACTGGAGGACAACTTTCCAGCAGAGTTTTGAAAAACTAAAGACTTTAGTACTTCTATTTAGCTGACAAGAACCACACCTTTGGTCATCAGCTTGGGCAACCCAACCAGACTGTGTGATTGGCAGTGTTCCGCATGCGCACCGTCAGCCCACTTCCATCCACCGAACACAAGGAGACCAGAGCGGCTGTGTGGCCACGGCTGTCTCCGTGTCGTTCCTGAGGACTTTGCTGGGACGGATCTGGCTTACACACACACAACAGTCGGTTTTGCCATTCTCGGGCATCCCTGCAATGTCTCCATTGGAAAAAGAAATGGCTTCTCCTATCTTGAACCATTTTTTCCCTCTGCTACAGAGCAACCAATGGGGAATGGGCAGTAATGGGAATTTTTTCTTGCAGGATTAACTGATACAAAGTAATTCTGTTAAGACGCTACAGTAGGGAGATGGAGAAAGCCAGTATGTCCAATGGGAGGCAGAGTCACCAATATTTATTCAAACATGTCATCCTTGAAACTTGCAATAGCCACGCCCTTCCTCGTGCACAGAAACAGGTCTAGCCTCCCTAGAAGAGCGCCCACTCCAGAGGCTTCTTGGTAAAAGATCTAGAAAATGAGGCTCCCCCACCCCCACCCCCATGAGGGTCTCGTGAGCACCATTCTGGGAGCAGTTTTAATGGTGTGTTTGAAGGGGGGAGGAGCAGAACTCAAATGGAAATGTATCCTGCTTTGAAAATGGGTTTAAGAACCCCTCCTGCCTGGTCTCCGGGTGTATCATGGGAAAGGGAAGAGGGGGGTCAGGGTTCCAACAGTCTCCTAGTGACTTCTCTGCCAAAGAGCCACTGAGTGAAAGGGATTCTTGAACCTGTTACTCACCGGGTGATGGCTTTCTTTTCTGAAAAGATCCTCAGGCAGAAGTCGGCTTCCTGATGGGGCTCGAACGTGCTGGGGATCAGGATGTACTCCCCAGGGGGCAGCCTGAACCTGTCGGAGACTTCCCGCAGGTTGACGAATGTTTTGCTTCGGGCCTGGGAAGCGTGGTATCTGAAGAAGTCTTTGTTCAGATGCTCCTCTCTGCCTGGGCACTGCAATGGGAAGGCAGGCTGGCTTCTCTGGGGAGGGCTGTTGGCTTGGGCTGTTTGGAGCCAGTCTAGGCACTGGCTGGTGAGCCTCAGACAGGAGCCAGGGAGGAGCGAGGATGTAGAGCCCAGATGGTGAGCTCTGAGAGCAGTGGGCCCACCCACCTGATAAATGGCATAGCCGATGGTCAGCACGTTGGCGCCAAACCTCTTGAGTTTCCTTCGATCTTTCTGCATCAGGGCCACAAGCAGAGTGCACGCCTCTTGCCCTTCATCTTTCTCAGTCAGGGACAACTTTATCTGTGGGTTGGTCCAAAAGGTGTCTGCCATTGGAAAGAGGCAAATTATTTTTCCTCCTTTTAAACACACACACACACACACACACACACACACACACACCCCTATGCACCCCACCCCATCCTCCCAGACCTGAGAAAATAATTTCTTCTCTCCTGCGAGGTGCAGTTTCTCTCGCTCATTTCCACCTTCTCTTGAACCATTTCCCATGCAGCTCTCTAAGGACATTCTGTGGGTCTCCTTGGCTACGGTTTGCTCCATCCTACTTTTGCCATGTGGCATTTCCAAGGGGAGCGCAGTGTCTGTGGCTGTGCCCAGCACCGGCTACGGTTGTGCAGCTTGAGCAGAAGCCACCTCCCCCCAGGTCCAGGGTGAGCCCCGATTAATCTAGGCAAGTCCCTCTTGCCATGAGAATTGGAACAAAGCTGATCAGCCCACAGGCTTCACCAGGCAGCACTGGTTCCAGGAATTCCCAGCTAGAGGGACGTTGAGGACTTTGGTTTAATAACGTTTAGGAGCTCTCCCTGTGACTATAAAGACAGCCAGACCCAGGAAGAAGTCAACAGAGGAAAGAGGGCGGAACAGAGAATTACGAACAGGCGGGAGCGATCTATGCTCAAAGGCCACTCGACTGCTCTGAACTGTTCAGTTATGTGGGACAATAAATTCTTTTTATTGCAGGACCAGTGTGCATTGTTTTCTATCACTTATATTGGGAAATAACCTAAGTGGTAAAACGAGGGAATTTCCCTGAGCAATTCTTACCTAGCTTCCTGCCAGGTCCCCTCGACCCTCTTTCCCCATCGTCCCTGAAATCCTCCTGTGTAAGCCCATGGTTCAAGTTTTCTCTAGCGTCCTGGCCCTGACTCATTGATGTCCCTGGGTGGGACTGGACACTTGAGAATGATAGAGACAGGCAGATTACTAACCCAGGAAATTGCGGCAGCCCCCCGCCGTGGAGCCCCGCACCCAGCTTCCTTGGTGGACTGTCACCTCCCACTTATGGAGAGCGTCCTCCTCCAGGGCATCCGGCGTGAGGTTGCAGATCTCCACTTTGTCAAAATGGGTCTTAAAGTCACTCAATGCCATCCTGCAACAAGGTGGAGGCACACAGTGCATAGCAGTGATGGTGATGCCTGCCTCATTCACTCATTCACTCATTTACTCATTCACTCACTCATTCACTCATTTACTCACTCATTCACTCACTCACTCACTCATTCACACATTTACTCACTCATTCACTCATTCATTCATTTACTCATCTAACAAGCCCTGCTGCCCCTGTCCCCAAGGAGTGGGAAGACCTCAGGTGTGGGGAGACAGAAAATACACACAAGAGAAGTTAAGAAAAGACTACAAAGGTAAAAAGAGACGGAAGGTAAAAGAATAGGTTGGTCACATGTGAGTGCTACCGAGCAAAGCCCGTCAAGAGGAGGGTGCGGGCGAGGAGGTCCCCGGAAGTAAGGGACGGCCTCACGGGCCGGTGTGGAGACCCGCGGACACTCGTCTTCCCTGGACTTCCCGCTGTGGGTCTCCTCACTTCTCCGCCTTTCTTCTCCTTCTTCCACTAGCTTCACCCCAAACTGTTCCTGCCTCCTGCTCACGTCCAGCAAGCTGTGCGAGGATCCCAATTCCCATCTGCAGCATTTTGTTCTGTTTTGCTCTTTTCATGTAACTCTTCACCCAGAGCCTCTGTACTCAAAATGCAAAGTAAATTTGTCTCTAATTTCTAATTCCACAACTTGTCGATCTCTCAAACACCCCCCAGGGTTCCCACAAATGTCTTCCACTCTCCACGTCATGGCTCCTGGGGCAGACATGGCCAGCAGGACAGCAACGTTTGCACCAGAATAGGGCCGGGGACTGCAGCGCCCTTTCGTCCAGGGTGGGGGAGCAGAGAGGGCGCCTTCTGAGTCAAGGCTTTTGGGAAGCGGGAGTGTCTTCTCCAATCTTTCCTTTTCCTCCTTTTCTGCTGGTTTCTGCAGAAGATCATGTGACCCCAGGGGATGTTGGAGCCCCACAATGAGGGAGCTCGGGCCCCTGAATCGCTGCCGGGAGACAAGCCACCCCAGAATGGGAATGGCTGCGTGGACTGTTACCACAGTGAGAAATAAACGTTATTGCATTTGCGTCTTTATACTTTTGAGTTTATTTGTTACAGCAGCTGGCGTTACCCTGAGTCACTGGTCCTTGAAGTATGGAGCCACCATAACAGAAGTCTAACTACGTGATGGCCAGCTTAGCAGTTGGGCAGGAGGCTGCAGGAAGTATTGGAGCTGGAGAAGAGATGTCCATGCTATGAATGGCAAAATATTTGCTAAAGCTGTTGTGTGTAAGAATGTGGAAGACAGAACAAATAAGTGCCCACGGGGAAGGATGGAAAGGGCTGAGTGGTAGTGTGTGCTGGTTGCTCGCTGTGTTGATATGCTGCTACAAGGGAGAGGCCAGCCTAGGCGAGAACTGACTGGTTTCAGCGCGCGAGACGGAAGAGAGCCGGACACCAGAGAGCGGTGGCCTCGCAGGGTAGGAGGAGCCGACCGTGTTTGGACCCGGAGGAAGAAAGAAGATAGAGAAAATCCTTCTGGGAATAAAGGCCTGTTAAACATTTTCAGCTAAACAAAGAGATTTACTCCAGATGAGGCACACGTCCTTCTCATGTAGGTCTGTTTTCAGATGTTCTCAAGGTAAGTGCCTTCGAGGGTCCCTGTCATTGAGGTAGGCCTGGAGGGAGGGGACCTGTGTGCGCCAGGCTGCCTGTCTTCAGGTTCCCCTGCAAACTCGGAGACTCAGAGGTGGGACGCTGGAGACCGGAGGCTCCCCCTCCTTCTCAGAATCACTGTACTCCCTTGAATCTCGAACAAATGAACAAATGTGGAGGTGGGCTGAGTCTCCCAAAAAATAGCAGACTAAGTTCCCTGCCAACCTTGCCTGGCTGATGTGGCTCAGTGGTTGAGCGTGGACCCATGCACCAAGAGGTCGCCGGTTCGATTCCTGGTCAGGGCACATGCCCAGGTTGTGGGACTGATCCCCAGTAGGGGGAGTGCAGGAGGCGGCCAATCAATGTTCTCTCTCATCGATGTTTCTATCTCTCTCCCTCTCCTTTCCTCTCTCTCTAAAATCAATAAAGAAAAAAAAATTAAGTTCTCTGCCAACCTGGATGTATATAAGGGGTTTGAGATAGAATTACTTGATTTACCAAAACTAAATAAATAAATGAAAGGAAGGAAGGGAGAAAGAGAGAGAGAGGGAGGGAGGGAGGGAGGGAGGGAGCAGGGAGGTGGAGCTCCTTGCACCTAAGGGCGTGGGCACATGGTCCCCGGGGGCGCGTGGTTGGGAACAGGACAGAAGCACTGTACCAGAACTCCCCGTCGTCGAGGGTGCTGTGACACAGGCGCTGTCGCTCCGCTGGGCCAACGGCTCGCCACTCGGAAGAGCTGGGAACAAACAGGCAGTGTTAGGTACCGAGGCGTGAACAGCAGCCAGAGGACACCAGCCTTGGGTGGGGAGCGCCCCTCCCTGGGGAGCAGGGTGTGCACACGTGGGAATTGATCCTGGCCAGTGGGTCTGGAGGCTGGTCGGCAGTGCACCTCCACTGTGCTGATGGAAAGGGCCCTTAGGACCACTGACCCTGCCTGGAAGGTTATCGTGGGGCCGGCACAGGGGGAGGAACAACAGGTAGCAGAAAGCTCCCAGCTGGAAGGCACCAATGGACTGAAACGTGTGACCTGGAGCACGTGTCCGACTCGCCCCTTCCTTCATGAGCTGACACGTTGAAAAATGATAACAACACCCTAAGTTCACCCACGCTTGACATTTGTGTACCAAGTAGCTTCCTTACCTGACCTCTCTAGGAAGTCAGCTGCGATTCATGCCCAGTCTGTGGACAGGAGGGTTCAGTAGGTCAAACTGAGTCACCAGCACTGTGGTGCTCTGGCCACTGTGGCCACCTCACTCACCCCTGTAGATCTGGACCTGCGGGGGTGGGAGGACGTCTCTCCAGTCCCTTGAGTAGGTGTGGAAGAGCAGGACTCAGAGCTGCCCTTTGAGCCGTTGTTTTCCATGTGCTCACACCCGTGTGCGCACACCCGCGTGCTCACACCCACGTGCTCACACCCACGTGCTCACACCCGTGCGCTCACACCCACGTGCTCACACCCACGTGCTCACACCCGTGTGCTTACACCCACATGCATACACCCGTGTGCTCACACCCGTGTGCTTACACCCATGTGCTCACACCCACACGCTCACACCCATGTGTGCACACCCACGTGCTCACACCACACACTCACACCCACGTGCTCACACCCACACGCTCACACCCACACGCTCACACCCACGTGCTCACACCCAGATAACGGGCTGGGCTGCAGCCCTGTGCCATTCCAGGCAGGGTCAGAATCAGGGTTCAGGACGGGAACTGACTCTGTCACCCCCAGGCTGAGTGGGAGCCGGAGGCAGGCTTGGTTCCAGCCTCGACTCCCATAAAAAATGTCCTTTCTTCATTTCTCGCTCTGCGTGTGTCCCAGGGCAAAGTGGCCTGTGCCCTTTGTAGACAGTGTCCTCTACAGCGAGGGACTCTGCAAGTCTGTTCATGGTAGGAAGCAGCCCCAGTAATTTCAGTTTCAATATTCCTGCCCTTTCCATTTCCACCAGGAGAGGGAGACCAATCTCGTTCCCTCTAACATCGGTTGGGTCTGAATCACAAGCTGTCCCCAGGAGTGTGCTGTGTCCCCAGGCTGGAACCTGCTTAATAAAGCCACCAACACATGGACGGTGTGGGTAGGAATGGGGGTTGGTGAATGAACAATTTGTAACCTTGTGAGGTATATTCTCGTGACCTGGCCAGTCTCGGATCAAAGCGTGTGTGAACAGATAGGTTTGACTGGAGGGCAGGAAGACCGCCCTGTTTGGTACTTAATGTTTTGTTTGCATGTGAATAGATAAAGTTTGCATGACAAAGGGTTGGAAGACCACGAATAGACCATGGATGCCCAGGCGAGGATGGATTTGTTATTTTTTATCTTTGATGTCTCTTTCACCATAAAAAGCAAGAGACAGGGCTTGGCTGTATGGTCTGCAGAGACTTCAATCTCAAGAAAATAATTTACCTAAATCAACATGTAACCTGGGGAACCACTCTGCAAATAAATCGAGCTGCATCCAGAGATCTGGAGCATATGCTCCCTTGCGATGCTCCCCCTCACTCCTATCAGCGTGTGCTTGTAGTTCATTGCATTGTGCCAACCCCTGGCAGGCCGAGAGAGAGAGATGGCAGGTGTGACCTGGAAGCTTTGTCTGAGCTGAGGACAATTACCAACTCAGAGTTACTCCAGTTCTAGATTTGCTGAAGGGCTCCCCATGGCCCCATGAGTCACCATTGTGGGGGTGCGGCAGAGGCCCCAGTGGAGGGAGAAGGGACTGAGGAAGAGACAGCCCTAGGTGGGCCCTGTCCAAGCACATGGAAATACCCTGATCCCAGTCACCTGGGCCACTTCCTAAGGGGTGAGGAAGGACACATACTGGAAAGGCAACCTTTCTTTTAATTGGGGGCCAAATAAATGACCCCGGTTAACTGCTCTGTAATGGGTAAATTTCCTATTCCACTTCCTCTGTCTTTCTACTGGGCCACTGGGGCTCTGGCCAATGGTCAGTGACCATTAGAAAGAATTCCCTGGTGACCTGCTTGGCAATATTTCAGGGATTATCACACCAAAAATGCTCATTGCTACCCCCACCCTAGCCAAAGCATGCATGCACATACACACAGACACACACGCACACACACACTGCTTACTGGAGCTACTCATAACTGGAGATACAGCCCTTTACAACACATGGGGGTGTGAGAAATTCCCATGGGAGCTCATACATTCACTGACATAAATAATTACAAGAAAGTTCAAGAGAATTGTCCTTGAGAATCCAGTTTGATGACAAATGGGGTCCGAGGGCCCAAGCCTGGCACCCAGAAGCGGGACAGGGCCCTGGGTAAGAGCTGGGAGAGAACTGGAGACTAACTGCTCCTCCCTCACACCGCACGTGGCAGCCCAGCCCCTGTGCCCCGGGACCAGTGAGAGGGGGAGCTGCCAGGGGGCTGCGGTAGGACTGACCTGTCGCTCCAGGCCCCGTTCCATTCGACCTGGCCCCAAGGGTTCCGGACTCTGATGAGCTCGGTTGCCTGGCCTCGGACGTTTGCCTAGAAGAACACACACCGGAAATGTGAAATGACGAATTCACCCCTAGACTTCAGGCCTGGCTTTAGGGAGGCCTCCAGACTACGACACGTTAAAGACAGGTCAAAGCTCATCAGGTCTTCACTAGCCCTTGGAACTTTCTGATTCCTGTTGAACGTGACTGCTGGCACTACCAATGATGTGATACTAATCACCCAGAATGGAGATGCTGAATCTGGGACATAAAGTAGAATTGTGATTAACAAGTAATGAGTCCACATGAAACTTCAAATGAGTGAATTTTTTCTCTAGACTGGCCTCCGCTAGAGGCAGGGGCCAGGTCTTGTTCATCTGTGTGTCCTCAGCACCCAGAAGCAGTGAAGGGTACAGAGAGTTCTCATGGAATGACCACAGTCAGGCGCACACACGACAATTCAGTCTCCAACGCGCCGCATGTACAGTGGTGGACACGGCCCTGGTGTGACGCGGCCCGCAGCAGCCGGGATTTGCACACGTTCGCACAGCGGCGGACGTGCCTGACCACGCACTTCTCAGAACGCGTGCCCTTCGTTAAGCGGCTCATGGCTGCACTGAATTCTCTTCACCCTTAGCATCTCACTCACAGGTGAATGGTAACAACATAAACACACGCTGGGAGTTTACACAACAAGCAAAAACCACTTCTCAGTCTCCTTAGTCCGACTATGCTGCCCCGTGCAGATGTGCTACACGGATCTCTGCCGCCCGCACGTCGAACCCTTGTGTCAGTAAAAAGAAAGACACCCCCCATGACCTCCATGTTCTATCCAGCAGCAGCAAAGAGGACTAGTACATTTCACAAATATTTTTTATTTGGAGGAAAGAGAGTAGAGGTAAAAGACTTCTATTCATCAATTACCAGACAGCTTAGCTCCCAGAATACTCTCTCCTCATGCGCTTGGCACAAATTGCATTTTTGATGTGAAAAAATAATTTGTTAGTATAACCTCTGCGGTGCACCATTTCAGAGGTTCATTCATTAAAATGAGCAGGGGAGGTAAAGTCCTTGTAGGTGGAGAGAGACACGCAACTGAACAGAGGATCCTATGAGATGGAGGATTTCTGTGGTTACTTGGAATGATAATTAGATGTAACATTAAAAATCACATGCCTACTCCAATGAGGGGCGGGCAGGCCTGTGAGGAAGGCGGAGGAAAGGAGCCAACACAGGTAGCTACAATCCTAAGCTCCGGGTGCATTGCCCCCTGGCCGCTCGCTCACAACCCCTGGGGAGGCGGGGGACAGGCCCTCCCTCCGCACCCTTCACTCCCACTCACATGGAGAGTGTTACTCAAAGCATGGCAGCACCAGGAGGAGGCCGGTTGTGCCTGTGTCCTCACAAACCAGGTTTCACACTCCAAAACAACCACATACAAAGACCAAAAAGGTGGAAGAAGGGAGAATTTCCTCTCTCTGCCTGACCGCAGGCTGGGACTTTGGTCCCCTTCCGCTCTTGGACTAGGACTAGTACCATCGCTTCTCCGGGTTCTTGGGCCTTTGCACTGGACTAGAACTGTATGGCCAGCTGTCCAGCTTACAGGTGGCAGATCGTGGGACTTCTCAGCCTCCATAACCACGGGAACCAACTCCTCATGATGAATCTCTTTCCCCATTTCTCTCTACCGCTATCTGTGTCTCGCATTGGTCTGTTTCTCTGGCGAGCCCTATTACAGGACTGTAACCAGGGAAGAAAAGGAATGACGAAGACCAGGTTCTCACACCTGCTCACCAAGTTTGGCAGTGTGGTGGATCACGCGTTTCTCTTTCCCGTTTTGCGTTCCAGCCTGCCTCCCTGGATGAGACAGTCTCTGAAGTCTGATGGGGGTTTCAATGCCCTAAGGAAGCATAGGGGACTAGCAATTGTTGAGTCTGTCCTTGTACCCTGTCAACAGGGGCTCATGTCACCCACCTGGTCAATTCCCGTCACAGTGTAGGCATGACCCTTAATAAGACCAAAAGGCGTCCGGGCTTCTGATTCTGCAGAATTTCTGATCTGAAACGTGAAAGAGCAGCGTTGGACCCATTGCGTATGTCAAGCCGGTGCTCCCTGGCCAGACCGAGCGCCATGCCTGGCCTGGCCCCTCCTGCTTCCCGAGATGGGGGCCGTGTGCCCAGGCCATGAAATGGGTATACAGGACACCCCTAACGTGGTTAGCATTCAGCAATTCCTGTCTCGTCCAGGTGAGAAGACCCTCATTCCAGCTCAGACTCTAGTGATCAGTTTACTTTCTTGCCTCCAAACAGAGAACAACTTGAACATTCCCATCATATAGCAGCACAAGACAGAAGCCCACTCACACACTACAGAGGTGATAGGAAGCATGACAGTGTCACATGCAACTCTATGTCACAAACTGGAAGATACAGAGGGAACAGATTATGTACCAGCAAAGAAACTCCCAAGAGGAAACAGAAAACTCAAGTCGGTTTCAAAAACACATGAGGTAGCCCTGGCTGGGTGGCTAATTTGGTGGGAGCCTTGTCCCATACACCAAATGGTTGCAGGTTCAATTCCTGGTCAGGGCACATATTAGAGGCAACCAATCGATGTGTCTCTCAAATGGATGTTTTTCTCTCTCTCTACCCCCTTCCTTCCTTCCACTCTCTCTAAAAAGAAAAAACATCAATGGAAAAAATATCCTCAGGTGAGGATTAACAACAACAACAAAAAAGTGCTGTTATGTTTTTCATGACATATGATGCAAAATAAACAAGTTTCGGGAAAGTACATAGTAAGACTCGATGTAGTGAAATCGAACCAGCCCACCCTGCTTGTGTGTATATCCGCCCGCGTGCCCGTTGTATGTGCAGGGTGAGGTGTGCAGGGCAGGTGCCACGCGTCACAGGGTGTCCCGAGGGAGGGAGACAGATGTGTGCCTTTAGGTATCAGAACTGTCCTGCCCGATTCAGCCAGTATGTCTCACCTTTGTATCACATTAAATAAAAACTTCTCCTTTGATTACAATAGACCCTCTCCCCCCACTAGGTCACGTTCCTCCTTGCGTGCGGCCGGAGCACCTGGCCCAGACCTCTGGCCCCAGCCCAGTGCCTGCAATGTCAGTGACTCACGTCAATGGAGCAGCCCACCAGAGAGCCCCTCTTCAGGGCCTTCTGTAGAATCTCATAGAAGTTCTCTGGCGCCTCTTTCGTTGTGAAGGTCTCTGCTACGCCTCCGGTGAAGTCTTCCATGGCCTCGATGGCGCTGCCGCCCTTCAGAGCCTCGTAGCTCCCATTCAGCCTGTAAGAGCACGAGAAAGCCAGGACACTGCTGCAGGGAACACGTTCCGCCACCAGGTGGCGCCGCTCGGCCAGACTTTTCCTAACTCTCCTAACCGCGCTCAAGGCCCGCCCAGGCTGGGACGAGTGGATGGAAGATGGGAAGCAGGCATGGAAGGAAACAGTCGTCCTGGTCACTCCGCGAAGAGGCAGTGTGGTGCAGTGGGAAAGAGCGTGGACTCTGGTCCCTGGCCCGCTGCAGGGCCAAGTTCCTATTGCACCACCTACAAGCTGAGTGATCTTGGGCCAGCTCAGTTTCCTAATTTATGAAACAAGGTGACAGTTGTACTCCCCCTTCGAGGGCTGCTGTGAGGTTCACAGCATGTGTGTGTCTCTTCTCACATGGAACACGGCCTGACCGTGGGGTGTAAGTGGTGTGTAGACAGAGAGCGTTGAGGACCTTTTGGTCTCATGAACTCCACATGTTTCCAAAGCACCTTTCTCTCCTACACCTTCAGTGAGTCCGCCTCCCAGATCTGTAATGCAGTTAGGTTTCATCACAGTCTGCATTCCACCTGGGATCCCCATCCTCCTAGACACATTGCTTGTGCATAGAGTTCTGTGGGGTTGATACATGCATGGTGCCCCGTAGTCACCATCACAGTGCCATACAGAATAGTTTCACTGCCCTAGAAAAATCCCCTGTGCTCCACATATTCCTCCCTCCCTTCCTCCCTGCCTCCCTCCTCGCTGAGCCCCTGGCAACTACTGATCTTTCTACTGTCTCCACAGTTTTGCCTTTTTCAGAATGTCATGTAGTTGGAATCAACAATCTTTTCAGTTGGCTTCTTTCACTTATTCATATGCACTTAAGATTCATACATATCTTTTCATGGCTTGATAGTTCATTTCTTTTGATCACTGCATAGTATTTCATTGTCAGGATGTTCCACAGTTGGTTTATCCACTCACCTACTGAAGGACATCTTGGTGGCTTCCAGTTTGGGGCAATTATGAATAAAACTGTTATAAAGATCTGCGGAAAGTTTTTTGTGTGGACACAAGTCTTTATCTAACTCATTTACCAAGGAGCACAGTTGCTGGATCCCTTGGTGAGACTACATTTAGTTAGGAAAGAAACTGTCAAACTGTCTTCCAAAGTGGCTGCACCACTTTGCATTCCCACCAGCAACGAACGAGGGTCCCGTCACTGCACATCCTTGTCAACAGTGGCGCTGTCGGTGTGCGGTGCCATGTCATTGCTTTGGTTGGCAATTTCCTAGTGATGCTGAGCATCTTCCCATGTGCTTATCTGCCATCTGTACATCAACTTTGGTGAGGTGTCCTCCCAACTATTTTTGGCCACTTTTTTTTTTTTTTTTTTTTTTATTTATTTTAATCCTCACCCGAGGACATTTTTCGATATTTTGTTCAGATAGAGTGAGAGGGAGAGAGAGAGAGCGAAACATCGACGTGAAAGCGACACATCGAGTGGTTGCCACCCACACAACCCAACCCGGGCTGGGGACAAACTGCAACCAAGGTACGTGCCCTTAGCGGGAACCAAACCCGGGTCTCTCCAGACCGCAGGCCGACGCTCTAACCGCTGAGCCAAACCGGCCAGGGCTTTTCGGCCACTTTTAATGACCAAAAAATAAAGGTTTTTCTCTTTAAGAAACCAATTTTTTTCTCTCAGAGGGAAAAGCCTTACCCTTCGTATCCTGTTGAATTCCACCAGTGTTCCTGGTCTAAGCCTTTCCCACAGCCGCAGGGGGTGGATTTCCCTGTGCTGGGCTCAGTGAGGGGAAGCGGCCCAGGAGAGGGTCCCGTGGAAGTCCCCTGATGGGGGGGGACTCCCCGAGGGGCAGAGCCAGGGCTGGGTTTCTCCTTCTGGGGCTGGAAGGAGGGCCCTTTGCCCACCTCAAACCTGTCCACAAACCTGAGGGTGTCCACAGGTGGGACAGGTGGGCAACGGGAGCACCTTTGGTTCTCTGATGCCTTGAATTCCATCTGCTGGTTTCAGGGTTAGTCGAACCCCAATTAGTTGAACCTCATTTTATTTTGCCACTTGTACACCCCACCTGGAGGCAGAGGTATGACCCTCCTTCCTGGTTCCTGTCTCTGACGACAGGATCCCCACAACCTGAAGATCAAGCTGAGCCTGAGCGGGGCCCTGGGGAGCTCTGGGGCCTGCTGAGCAGGAGCTCAGGCTGCGTGGATGTGGAGGAGCTCTCCTGGATGAGTTGATGGGCTGGAAATCCAGACACGGAGGGAACCGAGGCCAAAAGTGGGGGTCTGGAGTCTGCTTATATGAGTTACCTAGACTTGTCAGATCCACAGGAAGTGGGGGATGGGAGGGCGTTCGTGTGTTAACGGTGCAGACTTTGGTTTTGCCACATGAAACAGTTCTGGAGGTGGATGGTGGAGATGGTCGTACAACAACGTGGTGGTGATGGGATGCACTTAATGCCACTGAACTGCACACTTAACATGGCCAAAATGGGCTGGCCGGTTTGGCTCAGCGGTTAGAGCTTCAGCCTGTGGTCCAGAGAGACCCTGGTTCGGTTCCTGCTAAGGGCATGTACCTCAGTTGCAGTTTGTCCCTGGCCTTGGATGCGTCATGTGGGTGGCAGCCACTTGATGTGTCCCTTTCACATTGATCTCTCTCTCTCTCTCTCTCTCTCTCTTTCTCTCCCTCCCATTCTATCAGAACAAAAAATGGAAAAATGTCCTAAGGTGAGGATAAAAAAAAATAGTCAAAATGGTAAACTCTATCACAGTTTTTTGGTTTGTTTTTAATTTTAAAAAAAGAGCATTTTGAAGGTGGAAAACTCTGTCATTATCCATGTGGTTAAGGGCCCGGATGTTTGAGCTACGACGGCGTTGGGTGGAGGTCTGCTGCTCCCTCTGCCCACTCTCCCAGCCCTTCCGAAGGCCAGACTCATGACACAGCGAGAGAAAGGGGCACGTGTCACCACCGCGCCCAAGACTGGGCCCACCTGCGCCACGACCGGAAAGCGTTCAGACCTCTCCTTTCCCACCTGCAGCCCGGAGCCAGCCCCAGGCAGGTGGGCGGAGCCATGTGTCCCCCGAGCTGGGTCTCGCGCCCACACACAGGCCAGCGGCTGGGGCGGGCACCGGGCACACTCACTTGGCGTAGGCCTTCTCCAGCAAGGCGCTCCAGAACTCGTTGTGCTCCGCCGAGTGCAGGAAGATCAGGCGGTCCCTGAAGGTGGGCAGCCGGTCATCCACCACCACGTCCAGCCACTCGCTGTGCTGCCAGAACTGTCCCCGGGTGGACACAAATGAGGGTGTCACGCACAGATCCAGCCCCACTGGCAAGTGCTCTGCCCTTGGCTTCTGCTCCGTGGGACCAGCTGCCCTGATGGTCCTGAGGGACCTCACACGTGGGTTCGGTGCTGGGGCCACCGCACTCTGTGCTGAGCATGGGACCTGACGTCGGCTCAGGGACTCGGTGCCGGCCCATCACCCAGGGGAGCAGGGCAGGGCCACCCGTGGACGCTGTGCAGCGCCTGGTGGACCCCTCTCCCTGGAGACCGCGCCGGGAGGGTTTGCCGGCCCCCCCGGCTCTCTGCTCCTCCCTCCCGCAGCCCCCCCCACCCCCCCACCCCCGCCCTGGCTGTCTCAGCTCCGGGCTGAGAGGAGCCTCTGCCCAGGGGGTTGGCGGTTCATTCACACACAGAGGGAGGTTGGGGACGCTCATGCCAGGTGCAGGCGTGAGGCGGGGGTGTGTGTGCATGTGCACTTGTGTTCTTACAGGCTCACATGCATGTGCGTTTGTGCACATGTATGCACTTGCACGTGTGTGGGAGCGTGTGCGTGAGTGCGTGTCCTTTCCTATTCGGCTGGTCGTAGAGCATATCAGTCAGGAGCGAGTCGGAGGAGGGGGCGCATCTATCCACAGCTCTGCTGGGGCCCCTGAGCGTCTGCAGTGACTCAATCCCGTCGGCCCGGACCAGGCCCTGGCCCAGGTTGTGTGTGTTTTAAGGACTATTGTCCCAGGCTCTCAGTGGTGGGCCCCAAGCCTATGTCAGGGGGAGCACAGTGTGGGGACGCTGTCCCTGCTCCAGCTGGGCTCCCCCGTGGGGGCTTCACCCTCTGGACATAGGCCACCTCAGGCCCTCTTGGGGACAGTTGAGGCTTCTTCGCGGAGGCCCTGCTGGCAGGCCGGGGCCTCCGAACTCCTGAGGCAGGAGCAGTCGGGGGGCTGGGGCTGGCCTCCCAGGGGACAGCGGCGGAGAGCCTAACGGGACAGTGGACTGCCCTGACCCCACACACCTGGCCTGTGGCTGAGGACAGTGAGGAGAGGGAGGGGAGTTGGTGGAGGATTGCCGCAGGACTTCAGTGTGTGACTGACAGGCCCCCGGGACAGCCTGGTGGCAGGAAGGCGTCAGCCATGCCGCACCCCGCCTCCTCCACAGGGCCCGTGTGACTCAGGGAGGACCGACCAGGTAGACAGCCTCCTCTTCCGACGGTGTAGGGTGGCCCAGTTTGCGGGGAAGCTGCCTGAGGCCGCCCTGAGGCCAGTGGGGGGCGCTCCACCGTCTGGTCAGCCCTGTGCCAGCCCGGGGTGGAGGCGGTGTCGAGGGAGAGGAGGGGAGCAAGCGGGCCTCGCCCTGGCTCTGTCCTCCGCCAGCTCTGTGCTTCCCCCAGGTTTTATGTTTTAAACTCGCTCATGTCTCCAAATCTGTATTTCTTCAGTAAGGAGACTCTCAGGATCTGAGGTGCGATCCAGGTCCTGAGCGGTCTAATCGCTTATGCTTGAAGCAGGAGGATTTTCAGCTGTCGAAGCGCGGACCCCCAGTCCTGCCCAAAGCTCACGCCCAGCGTGGCCGCCTCGAGGGCGTGCGCCGCGGAACGCACTGCCTCGGTCGCGGAGCCCTGACGGGGCTTTGGGGTGCACGGGGACACTGGTGACGGCAGGTTTGGGATGCTGCTGCCACACAGGTACGGGGGCTTTCCTTTAGGGTTTCCCGGCATCTGAAGGTGCCCCTGGCCTCACGCTGGACCCCAGACAGTCCGGTCCAGGCCAGGCCCCCTTACCTGGAAGTGGAATATGCCGGCATACCCGGGGCCAAAGCTCTGGTCCTGGGGGACCACCCTCGCCAGCGCTTTTTCGTTCAGCGTCAGGGAGGCGATGGCTGCCAACAGCCAGCAGTCGCCTGCAAAATCAAGTCATCACTCATGGTTGTCATTGCTCGTTCACAGCCAATGGGAAAACTCTGCCAGAGATGTCAGGGGTCCCAGAGGTGGCCACATGTCCTCTGCATTGAGAGAACGGGCAGAGGGCCAGCAGATGCCCCTGTCCCCCTCGGCCTCCCTTCCCAGCCTTCCTGCCCGGGTTGTCACACATCTGTCCCTGGCTCGGCAGTGTTATGGGACAGCGCCCTGAGTTCCAGACATGTGCTCTGCAGCATCAGAAATGTGCAGTCCTGGGGACTCCCTTCCGGAGGACCACGGCGGCTGACCCGACTGTCCGCATGGCTGGCTGGGCAGCTGTCTCACACCTGTAGCCCCTGCGGCACCGGGGGGCACATTTATGGGACCGATGCCTGCCCCCAACCCAGACTCAGTTAGTTATAGACCACGGTAGCTCCGGGACCATTTGCTCTCAAGTATCGTGCATTTTCGAGATTTGTTGAGTAAGGTACTGATGTCCTCAGTTGTGTCTCCATGTTAACACACCTCTAGAGGAAAACTGAAAACTGAAGTCACGTGTCAGACAGTATCTATGTGTGTGTGTGTGTGTGTGTGTGTGGTTCAGTGCCCGGGGCACACACACATCCCCCAGGGAGCAGACGGGGGTGGGCAGGGGTGGTGGCGGTGCTGGTCCTCCAAGCCCAGGGACCCGGCTGCTCTCCCTGTGGTGACAGCTCAGGGGCCCTGTCCCCCTGGCCACCACGGGGCAGTCTGTCCAGCCCGTGACTCCAGGCTCCAGCCGCTCCCACTTACCCAGCTCCCCCTGGCAGATGTCAGTCCTGGTGGCCCCTCCCAGGACGAATTCTGGATTTTGCACTATTTCCTGGAAGAGAGAGTGTTGTTAAAGGGAGGCCCCGCAGCGGGCCAGCACGGTGGGCCGGGTTCAGGCTCCCCCTTCTCGGAGCAGACGGCTGCTTCCTGTATTTGGTTTTCTTCCTTTGGGGGTGGGGAGCATGAGGAGGCCATGGCTCTGTACCCCACAAACCTGCACCTTCTGGTAGATCACGTCCCTGGGGAGAGGTCCTGCCTCCTGAGCGGTCCCTCAGCACAGTCCTCTGGCCAAAGCAGGACATCAGCCAGGCCCTGAGGATTCCCATGGCCACTCGGGCCTGCGCCAGGTGTCAGAGGCCCCAGGTTCAAATCCCGACTCCCCACTTACACTCCCCTGTGGGCTTCAAACGCCTCACCTCACAGTGCGGTCGTAACACTGCCCAGCCTGGTGCCCGGCACCAAACGCAAGTGCCACTCAGGCTACCCAGCTCCCTCCTTCTCAGAATAGGCACTGAGGTACAGTTTTTAAATTTATCTACACTATAGTGACAGATATATATCTATATCTCTCATATAATTTCACCAAAGTGCATTATATATATTTTATTTTATTTTATTTATTTATCTTTTTATCCTCACCCGAGGACATTTTTCCATTTTTTGCACAGATAGAGTGGGATGGAGAGAGAGGAAGGGAGAGAGAGAGAGAAACATTGATGTGAAAGGGACACATCGAATGGTTGCCACCCACACGACCAACCAGGGCCGGGGACAAACTGCAACCGAGGTACGTGCCCTAAGTGGGAACCGAACCTGGGTCTCTCCGGACTGCAGGCCGATGCTCTAACCACTGAGCCAAACCGCCAGGGCTATATTTTATTATATATTACACATTATCATATATAATGGGTACATAACAAAATCATTAGTATATATAAATATATAGTAGTATGGAGAAATAAATACAAAACATTAGCAAAGCAGCATTCAAAAGCATTTTGTATTAATTATACAAACTTTATACATTCTCTCCATCTTTTGGGGCACCAGGCGCTATTTCTGGCGTGAGCTACAGCAAAGAAGAAGAGCGAAGTCCCTGCCCAGTGACTGCGGGACAGGCTATGAGCAGAGGGACAGACACTTCCGTGCGTCCTAGCGGTAAGTGCAGGACAGAAGGGCGGCGTGTGCCGGGAACTGTCTTAGGAACGGTCAGGGAGGGCCCCTGGGGAAGCGGACAGGCTCGGGGAGTCCTGTGACGGTCCCGGAAGACGCAACAGAATCGTGAGAGGAGGGAAGTCTGGTCACAGCACATGCCCGATCTTTTAACTGGATGTGACTGCAGGGTGAGAACTTTCCCAGGCATTTCCAGAGACTGGGACTGGGGACAGACTCCCCCTGGAGGTGCAAACAGGAACGTGTGCGTGGTCCCAGCAGCAGCCCTCCCAGTGAGCAGGGGGCTCTGGACAGGCCACCCACCTCCTCCAGGCTTTGTCCTCACCTGCCACATGGTACACAGACCGCCCTCCTCCAGCGCAGACATTCTGGGCCCCTCCCAGAGTCTGTACTGGAGCCTCTGCCCCAAAGGGCCCCGGGTCCCCACAGCCATCCCTGCACAGCCCAGCCTCGCTCTAGGGCCCAGACAAGCCGTCCTCGCCCTGCCGTGGCCACTCGTTCCTAAAGTGGATGTGAAACGGGCTCTGCGGCTGGCAGATCCCGCCAGCAGCCTGTGCCACACGCTGAGCCTCCTGCAAGATGGGCTGTGGGTGTGGAGGACACCCCCTCCCCCTCGCTGTCCTCCCCTCCCCCACCTGCCTCAGGCCTGGCCAGGCCACCTGTGCCTGCAGCTGTGACCGCCTCCCAGCTCCCATTACAATTGGTTACTTTTGTCCACGAGAGTTTTATCATATTGCATCAAACTGTGGAATGCTGGAGAAAATACAGCAGAGAACTAGTAATTCTCACCAAGTGAACACAAATTATCTATCAGGTGTAAACCGATGAGGTCCCTGGACGTTGACCGACACCACTGTCTGTCCAGCATTTGTGTGACACAGCACATCTGTGTGTGTCGGGCATTCTGTGTCTGTGTCTGTTGAGGGGAGGCTGTGCTGTGGCGAGGGCTACACACCCATGTGCTAAGCGTGTGTGACTTGTGTGGGCATACAGTATATATGTGCCCACATGAATGTCCTGTTGAGGCAGGAGAGTAAGAATCTGGGACATTCCTCGACAAGTGGACTAAGGGAAACCGAGACGCAATAATTAGCCAAATAATTTGAGCAATTGACAGCCAGCTGATGAATCACAAGGTTTTATCTTCCCTAACCAAGGACACTCAGGTGCAAATGGTTTGCACACTCCAAACTGTCCCAGGCAGACGGGCCTCAGACCTGTCCCTCGTCAATGATGTTCTTTAAAAATAAAACTAACCAGAAAATAACCCTGACGCCTCTATACGCACATCTTGATGAATCGACATGTTGAAGGACACACCTGGAAAGCCAATGACTATTCTGTTAGGACCTCCCCTAGGGTTCCCACCCACCAAAGAAAGGTAAGAAGCCTCAAGACAAAGGCCACGTGAGTGCTCCGGGTACAGCCCGCCCCATGCCTGTCTCTCTGCTCTGTTTCTCCCGAGCTCCAAGGGACCCCACGAGGCTTCCAACCAGGGGAGCAGTGGGCAGCGGCAGCTCGTCCCGGGCTCACCCCCTGGACCTGTCTCCAAAGCCCCCTTTTTCTCTGACTTTCTCTCCTGTTGCTTCTTCTACCCTAAGTCCTTCCTGTGTCGCGATATCCTCTGCTTTAATCAACATGCTCTCAAAATCACCCGGGCTTGCGTTGTGAAACCTTCCTGTGCCAAGTCAAGAGCCCGCACACTACCGGCCAACCCGAGTGACCCGCTCGGGGCCTGCACCTCGTCTGGCAATGCCATGAGGCTGGGTGTGTGCTCGGGGTGTCTGGGGTCCTGCATACATGTGTGGGCCCAGAACACTGTTCGTTCCTGTGAAAGGCTGTTTGAGGACTTGAGGACAGGGGTTACCTGGAGCTACAGCCCCGGGACAGGAAGATTGGAGGGGTCTGGACAAACCTGAAGTGAGCCCAGCCTGCAGCGTGGGGACCCTGAGGGAGGGGCCTGGGCACCACTGAGTTCCTGGAGGACTGAGGACCCAGCATCGGGTCCTGTAACGTTGGTTTCAGGGCCTGTTATGCTCATGTTGTACATCATCAAGGGCTCAGCCCAACGCACAGACTTTTCCCTGAGTAATTAGTTCAATAGGGAAAAGCCACATTCTAACACGGCTGGAGAGGCTGAGCCCTGTATCCATGTGTGCTGACCCCGAATGTCCCAGAGCTGGGGGCCCACAGGGACACAGAGGTGTCTCAGAGCAGGACAGCTTTGGGGGCGGCGGGCTCACTGTGCAGGGAGGTCACGGCCACGTGACACGGTGTGCGCCGTACCAGGAGGCCGGCAGGGGACAGAGGGTGGGGCGGCGCCTGCAGGGACCAGATGTCCCGGGATTAGGCTGAGAAGTGGGGGAGGGAATTGCATGGGAGAAAGCAGATGGTTTCAGGCACACAGGGAGTTGGGGAGAAACTGAGGCCAAGGCACTTGTGAACTGAGGAAGTCCGGCTGCAGGCGCAGAAGCAGGTGTTGATGGACTGCAGTTCACCCATGTGGCTGTCTCCCCATCAGGCTGGGAGACCCCTGTCGCTCAGACCCACAGCCCTCCCGCGAGGCTGGTGCAGACCACGCCCACTGGGGCGATCTCACCTTCTCCCCAAGTTGAGCTGTCACCCCACCCACGCCAGGCCCCAGGACACCACCTCAGTTACTTTGCCCTGCGATGTCGCCTTGACGTTTCCGCTTCCGGCTGCTCTTGTGTGCCATCCCCCGCCCTGGGGCTCAGCTGTGTTTGACAAGAAGGTGGTGCTGGAGGGCACCCCGCCCATCCGCCTCACTGGGCAGTTCGCAGCTGCTCCCCGAACAGACCCCACAGACGTGCTGAGCAGAAATGCAGACGCACTCAAGTCCCGAGGCCTTAGGGGGACCCTGGAAACTGACCCTTTGCCTGCCACCCCTCTGCCCCCAAACCAGGGACCTGGAGCTCTGTCCTGCAAGTGGAACCTTAGTCCTCACCCCCACACCTTGTCCCAGATTCCCCAGAAGTCTGTAAGATATAATGCAGAGCTCGGAGCCTGCCCCCCCGCCCCACTTCCTGAATGAGAAACAGAGCAGTGTGTCTGGGAACGAGCTTTGATCGCGGAGAAATTCCAGTTTTGGCCAAGAGAAGCTTCCGCTGGAAGCCAGGGGCTGGGTGGGAAGTGGCTGGCATTGGTTTACACACACAGGTGGGGCTGTCACCCCCCACAGGGTACTCCAGTGGTCCATCCCAGCCCCCCAGCACCCACGCTGACACCTTCACGGGGCCACCCCACAACTCTGCCCAGTTCTGCCCAGTTCTGCCCAGTTCTGCCCCTTCCACCCCACAGGTGCCGATCCTAAGAGCACCCCTGAGAAACGACCCGCGCCCACAGGCTCAGCTAGTCCGGGCCGGAGAGAAGGCCATCTGCAAGGGATGTTGCTGTCAGGGGGTGGAAGTGGCGTTTTCTGCCGGCAGGAACAGAGGCAGAGGGCAGGGGAGGGCTGCCCAGGGTGGGCTCACCCCCGTGCCCGGCTCTGCCAGCAACCACACTGTGCCTTTGAGGCAATGAGGTGCCCCCACTCACTCCAGCAGGAGGCAGGGTCAGTGAGCACAGTGGCCCGTGCTCGGAGGCAGCTGGCCGGGGCCAGCCAGGCACTGCTGTGTCCCAGCCCTAGGTGGCATCGGCCTCTAGGCTCCGGTCTCTCCTTCGGGAGATGGGGATGCAGTAATGCCGGCTCTCGGGGCCGTCTGAGACCGAGCGAGACGGCCCTGGTCAACAGCGAATGTCGCCCTGGCCATAGTAGCTGTTGGCTCCGGCCATCGTTTTGCATGTGCCTGACGGTTTGTGCAGCTGAGTCAGTGGGGTCAGGACAGACGAGCTCCTGCTCAGGAACACGGCCCTGCGGCAGGCACACCTAAACACCGTCGGAGCAGAAACAGGGAGACCACGCTGCTGGGGTAAGGACGGCTCCGTGGGAGGCCTGCGCGGGAGCCCGCGTGTCCCAGCAGAGAAGGGCCCCCCGACCAGTGGAGCATGCCAGCCGGGGGACGGGATGCCATGAGGGTGGGTGCAGGGCACGAGGGCAGCGGGGGAGGGGCCCTGCCTCATTCACTCCTGAGCCCCCTGAGGGTGCTGGGCACGGGTGGGAGGGCCCTGGAGGCAGTGGGTGGGTGGGTAAGACGAGGCAGGGAGACCAGTTGGGGGGAAGGCCGAGCCGTTTTGGCAGAGCCGTGTCAGACTCGGGGAGACACTAGAAAACCAGAAGCAGCTCGTGCGGAACCAGGCAGGATAGCAGCACACACATGTGCACACACATACATGGAAACACGCAGTGCATGTGTGCACACAGCCCACACGTGTACATGCACATGCACACACAGACACGGCCTCCAGCAGGAATCAGCAAAGCAGAGCTTGCATTGCCTCGCCAGCGGTGCGTGCACTTTGGGCCGGGCCTCGAGAGCCCAGAGGTCTTGTGTAAAACACGGGCGTTATTTGACGCAGTGAGACCGGGAGGAGGTAGGTGTGGGGAACCCTGCTCAGCACATGTAAGAAGAGACTCGGAGCTGATGGTGGTGTCAGTAAAAGTGATAGTGCTAACAGCTGTCATTTACTGAAAACGTCTGTGTACTGGACTTGGAGCCACTTGACAGGTGAACAGAGGCTCGGGCAGTTAGGTGACGCGACCACAGTCAGAGGACTCATCAGCGGCAGGGTGGGACCAGCGCTTAGGCCCAGCACTCTCTGCTTCCTCCTCCTTGTCCATAGCGACCTGTCCCCACAGGAGCCGCTCCTAGGCCTGTACCCACCCGAAGGAATGGGTCGGTCCTGGGCAGAGGTCAGGCCCTGACTAATCCAGGGTGGCAAATATTGACTCCTCATCCCGGCACCAGCTGGCGCCCCTCGGGGCCTCCAGATGGTTGGGGGGCAGCATGGGTGACGACTCACTCCGGGAAGGGGGTTCATGGTATGGGGGAGAGCCCTGCTTCGCCACATTCCCTGCCACACGGGGACTGAGCACCTGTGGGTGGCCATCCACTGCGCAGCAGGAAAAGATGCCACTGAGCACTGCCATGGGTCACCTCAGCATGGGCACCCACGGGGGGTTCTGAATGGCCTCCCACGTCGCTGCAGGTTTGCCCTTGGGTTCCAGTAGGACACATCTCTTGAGACTTGTCCTGGAGAAAGCTTTGACCCTGCCCGCTCACCCCTCCGGACAAGTCCCTCTCTGCAGGTTCAGTCCAGTTCCCGTGGGAGTCAGAGAGCTGGGGGTGGGGTGCAGCCAGATGCCCTGGGTACCACCCCCTGCATCCCCCACTTGCTGGTGTGTGTCCCCTGCTCAGCTGTGCCCTCAAACGGCACAGCTTCTCCACAGTAGCCGCAGCAGGGGTGCCCAAGCCAGGTGTGGGCAACCCACCCCCGGCCCCTCTCCTTGGAGCCGCACCCCCTGCCACCCCCCCACCCCGGCTGCACTCACCCCTGGCCGTTTCCACACGAAGGGGATCTGGGGCCTCTCGCTGTAGAAGAGAGAGGAGCTGTTGGCTGGGAAGTCGGGGTCCTCAAACAAGAGGCCCTTCCGTAGGCACTCCTGCCTCAGCTGCTCAAAGCTCTGGCCCGAGGAGTGGGTGCGGCGGGCGTCCCTGGGAACCGGGTGCTCCTGGGGCCCGGGGGCCCGGTAGAGGTAAGGCATGGTTGCTCCCGGCCAGCGGGCTCAGGTGGCGATGGGTGGGAAGGAGCGAGGTGCCAGTGCCAGTCTCGAAGGAACCACTCGGGGCAGCTGGCCGAGCGGCCCTGGGCTCGACCTGTTTGCCTGGGAACCTCCCTGTGGCTGAGATGGGCACACCCTGATGGCAAACTGAACAGAGCCCTCTGCCCTCCCCGGGCTCCTGCAGACCCACAGGGAGGGTGAGGCTGGGCCAGGTCCAAGTAGAGGCAGAACCCTCTGCCCAAGGCCCTGGAGACCCGTGGGAGAGAGGATGCTTTGTGGGGAGAGAACAAGAACCACGCTGTGCGGAAGGGGCAGCGGCTGGCTTTGCCCTGGGCAGAGAGTGGCAGGTTTGCAGTTGGGGGAGCTCAATAACAGTATATCTCAGGGACGGAGCGCTCTCACAGGCCGTCCTGTTTTGATTTAGAGGAGGGGTCGGCAGACTTTTTCCATGGACGGGAAACCTGTTTGGCTTTTGGGCCTTAGGGTGGTGCCGCAGCCACCCCGCTGTGCGCGTGCCGCGGGCCCAGAGGCCGGCTGTGCGCGTGCCGCAGGCTGCTGGCTCTGACCGCTGATGCGGTGAACTCAGAAGAGGGCCACTCCCCCTCCTGGGCACGGAGGCCTCTCTCCTCCAACATTCCTGCAGCTGGCCTTGGGAAACCTTTGCAAAAACAGACGTCATATGAATCAAATTCCTGCCCCCTAAGGCTCTGCAGATAGGATCTCCTGTTTGAGAAGAAATAACATTCGGAAGGTGGGGACAGTTTAATAAAAGCATTAGCTGGTGTCCTAGGTACTTACAGCGACTTCTGCGCGGTCCTCGAACGGCCCCGTTGGCGGGTGGAGACAGCGGTCTGAGCGGACGCTGCAGCTACAAGCCCGTGATGCAGCTGTTCAGGGGACCTCCTCGTTCCCAGGACTGTCGCGTGATCCTGCACATTGGTTTACCGGGAAGGTGAAGATGTTGGAGCTGGGACCTCTGGGTGACGCTGGGCCCAGCTGGGCCTGTGTCTCAGTGTGGGACTGCAGAGTCCGACACGCACAGGGTCTGGGGCTGTGGCGTCCTCTGCTCCCTGTCCCGTCTTTCCCCTGTCCTGTCCCACTGACACCGGTTCTCATGGTGGCCCTCTGAGCCTCATCTGTGACCACTTAAAGGCTCTCTTGTTGTGTCTCTTTGCACAGGACAGGGTGGGCAAAAGTAGGCTTAGAGTTGTGAGTACGTGAAACACCGTTTATTCTTGTGTTATGATTTATTAATTATTGTATTATTTTCCATAGGAACAACCCTAAACCTACTTGTGCCCACCTGTACAGGATTCTCTGCTAGAAACGGAGGAGCTGCCAGCGCCCCATGTTCCCCACCCTGTCAGACAGCAGTTTCCAAGTGATTAAGGACTGCCAGGGATACAGGCAGGACGAGGTGCGCGTCATCCATTTCTGGTGACACCTGTCAGAGAAACGACCGCCAGCCCAGATTTGTCAGCATTTCCCCTTCCAACACCAGCGATGGGAAAGGACCTTGATGTGAAATTCAACACGGTGGGGAGTCGAAAAGGTTTACCAATGCCCGACCCTGCCCAGCTCCAGGTATGTCTACCTTATTCCTGCCCATTGCAGACACCTCCCCAGGCCGGCAGGGGGCCTGCGCTTCGAGTTGGGAATCTCCTGTGGCCTGGAAGAACCAGTTTACCAGTTTTTCTATTTAAAGCCGACTTTAGTTACTAGGTAATCAGAGGACTGCATTGTCACTTATGACTAAAGCGAAAACACCTCCCAGTGGAAATACAGAAGCGTGTCTCGCACCCCCGCTGCCCAGGACCATTGCCCCAGTGCAGAGACCAGGAAGGCTGCTGGGACCCCGCTGTGCTCTCCCACCTGCCTGTCCCACGCAGGTCTGCAGGAAGGAAGCAGGTCTCAGGGGTCACAGCTGCTCAGCCTTTATGACATGCCCCCTCTTCCCCCCAAGTCTCATATTTTAGGAAGTGGCACGACCCCAGCTCGTGGCCCAGGGGGCTCTGGGCTGACCCGTCTTGCAGTCCTGATCGCCCCCAGCTCAGGGCTGCCTCCTGGAGTCTCTGAGCCCCAGCTCAGCCAGGGCGGGAGGGGCTGGAGCACATTGACCCAGCGCCCCACAAAGCAGCTGCTGTCCTGGTCTCTGTTTAAGTTCCCAAACCTTCTTCTTCTCAGGAAGGAAAAGGGTAGAGGAACTTCAGCCACACCCTTTGGAGGCCCGGCAAGCCTGCAGACCTGGTCCACGCAGCCCCGCGCTCTGCAGTGTGCATTTCTAGTTAGAAGCTCAATCCGCTTGCCACCAGCTGGAGACAGGAGTGGCTGGCCATTCACATTTTAGCTGCATTTTCCTCCCCTCAGCCGAGCAATCGGCGAAAGTGGATTACTCGATCCTCCCCCTGGCCTCTGGGGTCTTCCAGTCCTTTCTTTCTCCTCCACGCCCTTGGCCCATGGTGGACGCCCTTGTCCAGAGAAGTGGCCAGGTGAGCCCGGCTGTGCCGTCTTGCAGAGCAGTGAGATTCGAGACCCACACCTGGGCAGGTCCGTGATGTCTCAGACCAAACCAAGAGCAAGTGCTCCGAACCTCCCCCTGGTGTGGAGACTTTGCTCTAGGACCCAGGTGGGCTCCACCTCAGAGCAGGGCAGGTGCGTCACCAGGTTTGACAGGGATGCGGAACAGACAGGCTCCGGTCTTCGCGAAGGGGCTCCTTCTGCAGCCCAGAGCCTGGCGCCCAGGAAATGATGCGCCTGCTGCCCGGGGGCCTGGGAGGCAGGGGTGGCACCTCCCTTCACGTTTACGTTTGGAAATGAAGAGAAAGTGTTCACAGCAATGTTTTCTAAGGTAGATGCTCCGAGGAAAAGGATGGGAGGGCATTCTCTCCCCCGTACTCAACAGGGAGGGTAAAGCTTCTTATTTTGTGGGGCCCACTTGGAGTTGGGGACGTGACCTGGGAGCGCAGGGGAGCAGTCACAGCTGGACCGTGTGGGCGCCCCTGGCTCTGCTGAGTGCAGATGAAATTCCCGAGAGAGAGTGAGGAGGGGCCCGAGAGGCAGGCGGAGAGGAGACAGCGCCAGGCTCAGGCTCCGGGTCAGCGGGAGGGTCGGGTTGCCTTTGCATTTCTGTTGGCTGTTAGCCTGGACCAGTGAGCTCCACGGTTACCTGCTTCTTTCCGCAACCTCCTGGCAGCAAACCCATCACCAACCAGCAGCCCTTTCAGGGGTGACAGCGGCTCACCTTTGCACGGAGCTCGTGACCGGCCAAGCTGTGTTCCAAACTCTTGTGTAGGCTACGTCACCGAGTCCTCTCGACGACCGTGAGAAAGGGACTTTTCTACTGAGGATCGCAGGGGATATAAAAATGTGCCAGAGACGTCCCGGGACAATTAAAGAAAATATGTGCAAAAGTGACGCCTGGGCTGAAGGAGATGTGGGGTAACAGCACCGGCTGCCCTCTGCCGACGACGTCCCTGCGAGGGAGCGTGAGCATGGAGGAGGGGGTGCCGAGTGGTTGGAAGCTGACCTGCTTGCTAAGTAGCAGCACCTAACGGTTGTTGCTATTGCGCTGTTGGTGACACCTTCATGTGGATAAAGGATTACCTCTCCAGCTTGATGTCAGACCCTTGAAGGCTGGAGGACTTTTTATATTATGTCTCTAAGCACATCTGGGTCAGGGCCTTACATGGAGTAGATGCTCAATAATTATTCACAGAAGATGAGAGGTATTGGTTCCTGAGCAGTGGATAGAACTTGTCATTTTCCCACCTGAGCGTGGTCTTTTGGGGGTAGAACTTTGAACTTCAGATGTCTTCCTTAGTTAGGTACCTAGAGTTCCCGAGTCTTCTTGAGCCTGTGTTGATCATTCAGATGTTGTCAGAACTGCCATGTCGCTTGGGTTTTCACACGTCACGGCACAGAGCTGTGTGCGGTCCCCCTTCTCAACTTTCTGATCTCCTCTGTAACTGGTCTGTTTTCATGTGCTCGGTAAGTATTTGTTGACAGTTCAATGGATGGTTTAGGTTACGATCGTGGAATAACCCAACAAGTGCAGTTGGACATTTGCCTCCCGGGGGAGAGTCTGGGATTCACAATTGGATCCTAGGTGATAGGAGACAGTCTCTCCACCCTGGGCTGAGAGGCCACCCAAATGGGACCAGGAATGAGAAGCAGTTCCTGGCACCAGAGGCCACTGACATCTACTTTAGAGCAAGGAGCTGAAGGGCGTTGTATTTTTCTCTTGCCTCGAATCTTTAGGAGGAGATAGTCCTTCTGGGCTTAAGGGTCATGCCTTAGCACCACTGGTGGGATTTTAGGGCTCTCCAAGACCCATGGGGGTGCCAGTTTCATGGGACCTTCTCAGAAAGTCCTGCTATTTATCAATCAAAATGTAGACAGGAATCTTAACTCCAGCAGGTCACCATTGACATGAGCACATAGGAGAGAGCGAGGGAGAGGAAGAGGACCTCCAGATTCTTTATCCAAATTCCGTATTTATTACTCGGATAGTCTAGGGTTGGAGATCAATGAATGGTATGAGTCGGAAAGAAGGGTAGACATGCAGGCTGGGTTTCCCCAGTGAGGCCCTGCTGAAGGGGGTGGGGTGAGACAGACCCGAAGACAGGAGAAGAGCAAGGTGACTGGCCCTGGGGTCACCTGGAGTCTTATGATTTACTCTGAAGATCTTACACGATAGGCTTTGATTGAATGATGGAACAGGGCTGTTTGAAAGGGTGGTCAAAGGGCCTTATTCACCCGTCAGACCTCCTACTGTCACGTAAGGATACAACAAAGTAATGTAAGAGCTCAATCAAGCTAAATGTTTTTAGTTTTGAAATATTATACTTGCAAACCAAATAGAGTCTTCTCCCACCTTTGGCTAGAAGTGTCACTTCTTAAGACAAATCCTTAGGTCTTACTTTGATTATTTGCCATGAAACCATTTTTAAGACAGCTGGTCACTCTCTTCATTAAGATGAGCA